TCCTTCATGCATTAAAAGTGACCAGAAGGTGCAATCAAGTTTTGAAATTAAAAAAAATTAAAGATGCACACATCGGTGGGTGACCCGGTAGTTAGCACTGCTGCCATGCTGCTCTGGGACCCTGGGTTCAATTCAGAGCTGGGTTGCTAACTGCATGGAGTTTGTACTGTACGTTCTTCCTGTGTTCATGTACTGTAGGTTTCCTGTGCGCCAGTGCTCCAGTGTACTCCCACAGTCCAAAGACATGCTGGTAGGTTAATTGGCTTCTTAATTGGAAAATAAGCCCTAGGGTGAGTGTGTGCTTGTTTGTGTCTGTCTGTCCTGTGATGGACTGGTGTCCTGTTCAGGGTCTATCCTGCCTTATGCCCAATGCTTCCTGGGATAGGTTCTGGGCCACTGTGACCCTTAATTGCAAAGGGCACAGTGACTGAAAGTGACAGTGATGGTTTAACTATGATACTAACCCCTCACAGAAAATGCCATGCAATGAACTGCCAATTGGGTCTGTTCTCCCAGCCAGCCTTGCAACAGGCAGAGTTAAAGGAATCCCTTTCAGTAAGACGCTACTGCATGAGTCATCTTTGCAGTTACCTGAGCACTAAGAGTCAGTGATGTGATGCCTGAGAACTGACTGTTAAGGTAATATGGATTTTTTCGCACTTTGAGGAGTGGGAAATGCATCAGAGCACAGGCGAAGGTGAGAGGCAGGAAGTCGTTCAGTCTGCTTTGCTCATCTGCTTGTTAGTTTATTGATCTGTGAACTTCGTCAAGCTGTTTCTTCAAGGATTCCGCAGAATCAATGTGTAAATTATACTCTAAGATCTCTTCTCCTCCCTCAGGAGTATTTGCTCTCAGTGTTGCCTCCATTTGCTTTTTTTTTAGTTCCCGCATCAACATTGACTCTGTGGATCCTCGATCAAATCTCACTGATGTGCCTTTCATTCTTCACAAGAAAAACTTACATCTTTTAAACCTGTCTTTACAGTAAATTCAGTCTTGCTCTCAGAACATTTTGCTTATTTCAGGACTCAACAATGCCTTATTTTCAAATATAGTCACACTCGACTTAAAATGCAGGACTTAATAAATCTGCAGGTTGGAGAAATGTTTCTGCTTCTCCTTAAAAGGCAGTCAGGAGTCTGTTTCAGAAGTTAAAATAAGTTTTTATTTCATGCGCGTGGGAGTGAAACACAGAGATGCTTGGTGTTTAAGTGATTAAACTGGAACAGTCGTTAAATATGTCTGTTATCGATCACGCTTCCCTGTGTTTATCAAATTGGCACCTTTCCAGGATAATGCTCATCTTCCTCTTCCTTATTTGCTTCTTTTAATACAATTGGTTACTTTGTTTGGTAGCACACATTCCTATATAACACAGCATAGAATTACTTTGCAGCCCTTTTGTCCAGCATTCTTCCCTTCCAGGTCAAACCAGTTCTGAATGTCTACCTTATAAAATACTGTAGCTTCAGCAGAAAAAGTATGTACAGAGTTCACAGGGACCCTCTCAACATGCTTTTTTGTTAACAGTTTTGGTACCCCCAATTACTTTTCTTGGTATGCTTCCCAGCAGCACTGAGAGTTGTGAATCAACTCAACTCACTGCTGTGGACCCTGAACCAAGTCCTACAGTGCACCCACAGCAGAATGGAGAACTGATCGAAGGAGTAATTCAGCTCCCACTGACAGTGATGGAAGCTCAGCCGCACTCACTGTACTCTTTTGTAGCAAATCAGATACCCTGACCAACCCAACTAAAGTGCACTCAGCTTTCACTGCACACGGTCAAGTTTGCGTCATTGTTCAGGGATCTTGTGCTATAGGTGGCCAATAATAAGCAAGACTCGGACCAGTGATGCCAGGACAAGAGAACTCAGTGTCCAGTTTCAGTGCCTTTACCAAATTCTGCAAATAAGAAAAATTCCACTATATGCAAAGCCTGCACACCTCACAGGCTGAAAGTGCCCATGTTTTGTGTCTTATTTCTTGTCCCTTTTTGTGTGACTTCTGTCAATTTACAGTAACCATCCAAGCTCCTTTTCATGAGCACCTACTATAAGAAAGGTTACAAGTGAGAAGCGACCATTTGGCCCATCTTAGCTGTTTTTTTCTAGTGGGGAAAAATCCAAGATTCAGATAGAGCTGTTCTTAAGGGATACTATACTGCCTGCTTCAACCACATGGTTAGACAGTTTGTTCCAGACTTACACAACTCTTCTGTCCCGAATGTACCAAAACCTAATTTCTCCTTGCCCCTGGACTGACTTTGTCAAGGCCTTTTGGCGCTTGCAAATCTAAATCACTTCACTATGCTATCTGTTTCAGGACAAAGTGATTCAGTTTATTTGGTCTATCTGTGTGTGCAGCTCCTCTCAGATTAGGATGAGTCTGGTTGTTCTCCTTTGTGCTACATGTACCTCTAGAGCAGAAATATGAAACATTTATAATTCTAACACCTTAAAAAAACACTTTATTTGTCAAGTGCTGCTTTCTACACTTACTACTTTCTGTTGAAACTATTTTTTAATGTGTCCTCTGTAGCCAGTTCATTAATTATTTGCAATAGTAAGGCACAGCCATTCTTGCCACAGCTTTGATCTTCAATATTTCACTCTGGGGGAGTGGTGTCATGAGGCAGGTGATAAACAAGCGCCGCTGGCAGCTTCCAATTTGGAGCCTCATCAAGGAACAGCCTGAAACAGGCCTTTGCATTTCATTGTGACTCTGTGCAATGAAGAAACTGCTACATCTGAAAACATAAAATATGGACGAGGCAGAGAAGAAAGCAATTGCAATATCAGGGGCATACTAACCTCTCACTGGGATGGATGTATCCAGCCCAGCCCTCTGTAAACCTCTGTCACTTCTTCGTGTTGTCAGAAGCAAACCAATTTAGCAAATTGATACAGATAGCCTCTGAGGATATGCTGTCTTCGTCATTTTTATATTTAGCCCAGGAGTTAATGACGAGGCTGTTTGTGATAATTCACAATGGAAGACAATTCTGACCCGAGCTTAACCAGAGTAAAGATCACCTTATAAAAGTGCATATACAGTATGCAGACTGATAATTAGAAATGTATTATATACAGGGAATTGCAAAACTATTCACTATATTCCCATCCATCCATTTTCTAACCCTTTATTCCAATAAAGGGTTGCAGGGTAGCCAGAGCCTATCCTGGCAAGCAAATGGAGCAAGGCAGGGTACACCCTGGATGGGACGCTAGTCCGTCACAGGGCAGACAGACACAAACACGCACACCAGGTTAGTTATTCCTAGAAATCAATTTCCCTACCTGGAGGAAAAATTGTGAACATGGGAAGAACACACAAACTCCACGTAGACAGCACCCCAGGAATTGAACCCAGGACCGCATCGCTGCAAGGCAGCGATGCCGACCCCTGCAGCAGCCAGGACACTTATATATATGCTATGTAAGTTCCCAAAGTTAATGTGTATTGTATGCCAGTTCCTTTATAAAAGCTGACCTTTCCTAAACTACTATATAACCTGCAAGTGTAGTAAAACATTGAGCTTTAAAACCATGGGCAACTCATGACAAATCAAATTAAAACTACAAAAAATGCACATTTTAATAAGGGATAATATAAACAGTTTGGTATTCTTTTGCCACGCGTTCCTGTGACTTACAGCTCCATTCTTTTCTGATTCCCATCTCGCATTCTTCAACTGTCTGAGATTGTGGCAGTGATCCAGCTGTCTTACTGTAACGAAAGCGTTCTTTCCGGACCCTATGCAGACGACGCAATCCGGGGATGAGTGAGGAAAACACGGGGAATAAGGCATGCAGGAGTCGGAAACGAAAACAGGGGGCGTGTCCATGGTGCGCTGGTGTTCGGGGGAAGTGTGGCCGAGGCAAACAATCCAGAGCTGTGTCCAAAAGGGGCAAAAGTCCAAAGCCAGGCGGTCCATCCAAGACAGACGAGATTTAAACAAGAACCGGGACGGGACCGGCATGGGAACAGGAACAGAAACTAAAACCTTGATGGGACCAGGCGCTTCCAGGTCCTGGACTCGCCTGGTAGGGGGAACCAATGCAGAGCCCAGAAGAAAGTGAGCGCCCGGCTTTTATAGGGCGAGGGGAAGGAACCAGAGGCAGGTGCAGGGAATGAGTTCTGAACAAGGATGGGCTGGAGCATCCTTAAGAGGAGGGGTTTACGATCGTGACACTTACATGGTTCAATTTTAGAGCCACTTTCCTGCAATATGCAGGTCCAAAGCTAAAGACATTGGTTTTTCAATGGTTTCATGGTTGACAGTGTTATGCTTGTGCTTTGTTACAGTACATATGCTGTACACTTTCATTACTGCATATTGTGCCTACTTTCATTGAAAATAACTTGTTTCAGATTTCATAATTACAAAAACAACATGTTGAAATGAGCAGGAAAAGTAGAGAAGCAGCTTATATTTCTAGCCTACTTTCATGCAGAGTTGGTGCTTCTCTGGCAGACCACCAAACAAATGAAAGGAAACCCATCTAGCTTATGTTGAATGTTTCTAGATGACTGACTGGAGGATCCAAGATCTTGGTTCTCCCCCACCTGATACAGATTACAGTCACAATTATGTCATTCACATTTCAAGACAAAAACAAAGGAGAGTAATTTGAGTACTGTGAGATGTTTGGGGAAGATGAACACACAACTTGAAGGTGAAGGTACAGTCTCATTTTTTAATTCAAGTGCAGGTGAATTTCATGTTATGTTTTGTTGTTATGTTGTCAAGACAGTTGTACTTCCTGTTTTAAGTTCTATTTCCTGTTTTGGGGAAGATGGGAAGGACTCTAGGCCTCAGTAAGCAATATGAGTGGCTGCCATTTCACCTACCTTTTACATTAATGGCCAATATCAGTGATATAATCGAAGATGTGATCCAACAATCCTAAAAAAATGTCAAATCCTTCACATTCACATAAAGGGCCTTTTTCGTAGTCTCAAGTCGTAATAATTTCTTTTGCTGACTCTTGTTACAGGAGCAGTTCACGCCGGAATGCAAGTTCAAGGAGTCTGTGTTTGAGAACTACTACGTCACCTACTCCTCCATATTGTACAGGCAGAGAGAGTCGGGTCGGTCCTGGTACATCGGCATCAACCGTGATGGTCAGGTCATGAAGGGCAATCGGGTCAAAAAGACTAAGGGCGCGGCTCACTTCCTGCCCAAACTAATCGAAGGTACTGTAGAAGCCTCTTGCTCTCTTCCTCTTATCTTTGTGTACTAGAAGCCATGAACACAATCAGTCCTTGTTTAAAGAATCGCCCCACTGGCACAAACGCTTGTTTGAAACATTTTCTGCTGCTTACAATTACCTTGTGACAATTTTATGATTAATAAAATATTAAGATAAATGGAGTACATTTTCAAGAATGCGTAAGCAACGTTTTTCTTCATATAATGTGGTTATAAAGGCAGAAGTACAAATAACTTTTCCCCTTTTCCCTGTAGCACAAAGTTAATGCCGCTCAAGTATTATTTGTTTAAATTATTCATCGTGTTGGACTTTTTTAGAAGCTGAGAGCAGACAGAAATTATACAGTGTTCAGCTCTGATAACTTTCCAGCCATGCAGAAGTACAATTCTCACTTTCATTTCCTCCCTGAATTAGATTTAAGCACACAAAAAAAACCAAATTCTCCTGCAACAGCTTTACAAATGTAAAGAATCTATGTTGAAAAAATTACAAAAATACACAGCATTTTGTCATCTTGGGTACAAATGTCATTAAGCTTTCTCCAGTGAACCGTTTTAATGCCCTTTTAACATTGTGTACAGTACACAAACCAAACACATTTTTAATTATTTTAATTATCTTTTTAATTAGTACTTACCTGACGGAGATGTTTTGAAATGGATTATTTATATAATAAAACTCGAAATCAGTGTAGGAACTGAAGAAGGTCTGAAGGAACACCATGTCTTCTGGTTTTTACTCCAGCTGAGTTCAGCTGGGTTCTAATTGACCTTAGTTTTCTCCTTGAATCTCATTTTGCAAATTTGTTTTCAGCTTTAAAATATTGAATGGGATTTATAATTGGTATCAACACTGTATCAGTTTCTAATTGTTCTCATTTAGGTGGGTTGCCTGAAATGTGTGGGTTGGACATGCAGAAGGAAAAATGCTCATTTGGGAATATCCACTGCAGTGTCCAGCAGCTTGAGGGTGCAGTAGTTAACATCGCTGCTGTGTAGTGCTAGTGTCCCGGGTTCAGGTCCAGACCTGAAGTGTTATCTGTGTGGAGTTTGTATGTTTTCCCCATTCTGGGAAAATTGGCCCAAGTGTGAATGTGTGCAATTTTGTCTGTCTGTAACAAAGGTTCCATCTCCCATGTGACCCTGTAATTGTTCAGAAAGTGGATGGATGTTATGGATTATTGCTTTTAAGGGTATTTAAAATTTTCTTTTCAAGCAATCAGGATAGAATCCTGATGTGATAGAAACAATAGCCGCCACTGTTTGTTTCTACATTAGTTCTACTTTGTATCTACATTGTATCTACTGCATTTTTGAATACCTTAAATCTTTAAAATTAGGGATTAGAGTTTTAGAAAAGCAGACTGTGAAGAATTGAGGCAGAACCTGGAAATGGTGAAAAGGGGCACAGATTGATTAGGATTGATTATTTAGACAGGGATATCATTAAAAAAACTAACAAAATGTTCCGTGAGCTCAATGGGTCACCAATTTCATGCAGGTATTGGTTCAAAGGAATATGTAACCAAATACTGAGTTTTATACTCTGTAAAGTGAATGTGTCTCAGTACTTACTGTCATTTTTTGTTTAAAACATTCCAAAGGATTGCAACACATAGGGTTGTGTACATATTAAAAAGAAGCTTTTCTTTCACTTAGATGTCACAGAATTGAAGGAAAACAAGTTGCATCATCGTAGGAGAGTGGTAACAATGAAATGTCATTACAGGGAACTAAAAACTGGGCTTAGGGATGAGCAAACTCCCAGACTAAGTCTGAGCTCTGCACATCAATCCCTCAGAAGAGAAAGATTTAATCTAGACACGTTGTTGCATGGGTATTGCTCCTTTTTAGACCAGGTTGGCACTCAAACCACGTTCTCTCCATTGGGCCTGTCAGTCTGATGGATGGGAAGCACTCCGAATGCTGGGCACAAAACTAATCAAATTCTGGCCTCCATAAAAACCAAGTTCCCATGCAGGTTTTCACAGATGTCATTTCCTCTCCATACAGTTTAAGCCACAAGCATCTAGCCTGACAAAGACAAACTATAATCACTTCATGTAATAATTAAAATCCATAATAATTTAATTAAAGCCGAAACAAACCAGACAGAGTAGGTTACTGTCCTGTTGGATGGTGTTACCATCTCTTTTCATTATCATACAGGAGGTATCAGACATTTCACTCTTTGGCACAACTATGGCTGACCCTGCACTCTGACCCCAAGCTTCTCTCCCTGTCCGTGTGTCTGTGTCTCCATGGAGAAAAGCTGGGGTATGCGAAAAGACGAATTCCTAATGCAAGAAATTGTATAGGGCTAATAAAGAGACTATTATTATTATTATTATTATTATGACTATTATTATTATTATTATTATTATTATTATTATTATATGGTAATTCTGATTACTATTAAAGTATATACATCTTCCTTCTTTTCTTCTTCTGGTTGTAATGAGCTATGCATGTTGTAATAGCTGTGATGTGCAATATTGTGTAATGTATCCAGATGTGCATTGTTTCCCCTAGGAGACACTAAAGTTTATCTTATCACGTGTCTTATCCTCTGCATCATTAGCTTTTTGGGAGCTACTAAATGGAGCAGCTGGGACTTTAAAAGTGACAGATTGTGAACTCTATCAGTACTGATGTGCTGTTGCGATCAACACTGAAGAATTAGTTTCACTGCAACACTACTACTGACCTACTGTCAGTAGGTTTGCACTAATTCTAGTTGTCGTTTCTGGTAATCTGTGGTCCTTTGCCTCCTTGTCTCCCTTACTGTCTCTAAGAAAAAGCTCCTTTGCCACAAGATGTTATTGACTGTTCCCATTTCTGCTACCACTGAAAGATGCCAGGGTGCAACATTTTGTACACAATTCCACTCTAAAAGCTTTCCAATTGCTCACGGTCGTCCTTTGTTTTGTGTTTATTATTTAATGTATCTGTTTTAGAATGCATAATGCCTATCTCATACACTGACAGTTTTTTCTTAATTTAGAATCGTAGAGTCACCATCCCGCCATAGAACCCTAAACTTTTCTTCACTCCTGAATGAAACAAAATGCCACTACTAACCCAGTTAAACTGTGCTCATCTCTACCATCTCTCATCTGTCCCTCTCAACAGTGGCCATGTACCGGGAGCCCTCTCTACATGATGTGGCAGAGCAGAGCCCACCACGGAAGACCGCCAAAACGTCAAACTCTCCTGTGCTGCAGAACGGCAGGAAAGACCTGCCCAAAAAAGAAATGTTGTAGCCCCAAGAGGGGGGCTGGGCAGTCTTCCTGAGGAAGAAGGGCCTATAACCCATGCTCGATTGGGGTAGTGATCAGAACCACCCAGTCCTAGTCCACTCTCTGCATTAGGTACATCGGTGAAAGTCCAAGGAACCTGAAACAGGGAGTGTTGGCCAGGCGCTGACTGAATGTCTGGGTCATCAATAATGGTGGCTGTTCCAGTGGAGCAGCCCAGTGGACAATTCCAGCCTTTCTCCAAGCTTTTGAGGAAAAGTCATTTTGCTAGGACTAAACTATCCTCACTAACATCACAGAACAGACACGGCCAAGAGGAAATCCACCAAAGATCTTTTATTTTCCTAACCCGATTAGGGCCACCCATGTTATTCGATGGTCTTTAAATGTCTCACGTGCTGCTGTTTTTAAAAGAAAACAACTTCCTTTCAGGGATGTGGAACGTTTTATTGCCTGTGGGCCCACATTCCTGGGGAGACCACATTCCCGTGGTTCAATGCATTAATAAAATGGGATTGTTTTGGATGCTCCAGAGGATGACTCAGTGTAAGCGAGTTGGCATTTTTAATATGAATTTCACTTCCCTCATTCTTTTTTTTTAAGTTCAAAAGCCCACTCCAGCATTTTGAGAGGACAGATTTGTTTAAATGAAATACATTAAAATGATCCAAATTTGAGTTTTCTGAAAACCAGGAAGAAAATTGTCACACTCACCTGTGGTCACTAAGATCTTGTGGTAGGCGAAGGAAAACAGGAATGCCTAAGTAGGTGGCTTTAAGTTCACGGAAGTGCAGTAGGGAACAGACCAGATATAATAAGGAAAGCTGGCTGCAGATTAATGGGGAGCAGAGACTATGATATCCTGTAAGACTGTCTTACTCAAAAGAGTACAATACATTCAAATGCAGGTATTTACACCCGATTTAAAAAGTGCAACAATGCTGCATTTCTCAATGAAGGTTACCTCTTGAGACCCATTCCTTATTAACAAGTGTTTTTGCAAAATCATTTCACCATAACACAGCTAAAGCTGTTGACTTGGAACCACCACTTAACAGCTATTTAACATTAACAACAACAAGGAACATCTGCGATTACATATTTTTATATACAGTATAGGTCAATATGCAATTTTAACTATGAAGTGGCAATTCTACAAGGTGAGCCTGCAAAAAGTAGCCCTCTGAGGAATGAAAGAGCAATCATCCACACATCACTACACATGTGAATAATGGTGTAGGTTTAGTGTAGAAATTCTTGTTTCAAATTAATTTTGAAAGAGTATCCACAACAGAATAGCTCTGTATAGCTGTGGTTCTCACTATGCACTCCAGTTCTCTCTGTGGTCGACATTTCTGTTTCTTTAATTTGATTGAAATGGCTACTTTTTCTGACACAGCCTGTGTGAATTACTGCTACTGCTAACATCTGTCATTATGATGCATTTTATGCCACTTATGTCCAGTTTTACTTGTTTGCTCCTGTTCTGTGTCACTTCCATATATATGACTGATTCTAAAATGCTTTGTGTTCTACTATAAAGACAAAAAATATTTTTTGTGGAAAATAGTGGAATAGTGGAAAATATTATTTGATTTCACTTGAACTACTACTGTCACATAACAATTTTACATTATTTTCTGTTTAGAACTGCACTCTTTAATAATGTTGAAGAAGTTTGAAAATACTGCTTCATTTTTTGGGGGGGGGCAACTCATATCTAAGATAAATTGTGTTTGATGGTAATTTTCCCTTGGAACGGAAGATTGCTCATTATTCTTCATACTAACAATAACATGAGTAGGAGATTGTTTCTGTGGTAACCATGTGTCTTTTTCTGAAAGGGATTTACAGTAAATACAGAATCTCAGTGATCTCAATCTCTCTGTTCATCTTATTGATTTAGATTCTCAAGTCTTTCACTTTTATTCTAAAGCATAAACCTGTAAATGGAGAGTTTAGTACTTCTAACTTTAAAGATATTTAACTGACCTTCCAACAGGCCTTTCATGTATTAACATGTGGTGAAAAAAAAAAAGATTTATCATGACCACAAAATTTATATTTAATTAGCTTCTGTTATTCTTACTTAATAGCCAATAATCCATACTGCTGCTCCTAAAAGAACATGGTGTCTTCTATTTTTGATCCAGACAATTTCTTAGTCCTAGGCTATATTGAATTCACTTTTCAGTCTGGGATATACACTATTTTCAAACTGGGTTTTTAAAAAATTGAAAGCAACTTGTAGTTGGTATCAACACTGTAACCAATTTAGGGGTTTCTAAATTGCCCATGTTCTGATGAGTTAATTAAATTTAAACCAATCGGATATTAAGGAAAATAAAAAGGCCCTTATTGTGGGAGTATTACATGTCTTGTCATTCTGCTTAGTAAATTTAATATAGGTTGGTTAACTATTAAGATCTTGTTGAGACAGAAATAAGGGTATGAACTCTGAGATTGCCTAAAATGTTGCATGTTGATTAAAAATACACTTGAAATTGACAGAAAAGTCGAACAAAATCCAACAAACGTGCGAGTTACACAGAACCAGCGCTGGAGATAGTGCACTGAGCTTTCGTGAAACAGAGAGGCCACTCCTGTTCCAAGATTGATGTTCTGTTAATTATTTTTGTAAGCTAAGTACGTGTTTTTATTAAAGGTTAGAACTCTCCAATATATCCCACTTCAGCTTTTATCTATCTTAATTGTATTACTGGAATGAGCTGGCTACTGTAAGAAGACTATATAAGCAACTTCAAGAATACTGCTAACTACTCCTGGTTGAGGTGGGATTCTTTGTTCAAGAAAGCAAAATGTTAGCTAACCTCATGTTTAGAGTCTCAGATTTGGAGTTAAAATATATGTTTTGTTTTTGGTTACATTGCACTGTATGTTCTTCTTTAATGCTTTCAGAATCACTTTCATCAGGAACATCTCAGCTACTAAGCAAGATTAACTTTGAACTCCCAATTTCTAATGACTTGCCATAGGCTTGGCCCAGTGTGATCTGGCAGGATCTGACTATTGAAGATAAAACCGACCAGAGATAGTTCATGCACTCTACAATACTAGATGTCCTGCAGAAAGGAAATGTGGGAATTGGAACTTAGTCTTATTTTTCATTCTGTAATTACACTGTGAATGTGGAAGTCTTGAAACTGTGAAAACTAAAATAACACATAAAGTGCAAGAGGTGAAAGTGGCATGTCATGAAATACATACTGTCCATAATGCATGTGGAGGCTCTTTGCATTTATACTGAATTTAAAATAAGTCTTGGATTATTTTGCCTAGTTTTGTCATTCTGTTTCTATCATTTTTCATGTTACAGACATATCATATATTGAAGGATAATCCTAGGAAAATACTTTATATTAACAAAGGAGCCCAAAGCTTTTGTTAGGAACAGTAGCTGGTTAGACAGCAGGATGACTACATCTCTTTCATTAGCAATTTCTGTGCCATCTTAGGAATTTAGTACCAATCTTCTTAATGTTTCAGTTTGCATCTGGGTCTAAAGTCTGGACTGATCTGATCATGACCACGTCTCCCTCACATGCATGGACTCCACCACACCTTTGTACTCAGGTGTGTCCTAGTTGAGTAAAATTAGAAATCTATCTGCTTTTCCTCTTCATGTCCTTTCAAGACTCCATCAAGGGGTCCTCTTCATCAAAGCAAAGTGAGTTATGGGAATGAAACCTAAGGGCTATCATTATAAGGGCAGCATATATACTGTATATGCATGTGTAACAGTGGGTTCTTTTTGTGTTTTGTGAAAAAAATGTGGTAGCTTGTTGTTTGAGTGCATATTTGATTCCTTCCAGGCCAAAGTACCAGTTAAAGCCATTAGTCAGGTTTTGAAGCCATTGAATATTAAACAGGCACAACTCAGAAGACTGAACAATAGGAATGTGTCCTGTTTGTGGAAAGCTAGGAACATTCCCTTTGGTGCTTAGTAAATTGGAACTTCAGATGAAAAGATTTTTTTCCAGCACTGCTGACAGTAATGGCTTCACCTCTGTATCCTTTTCTTGTAAATTTAGTTGAAGAGTCTGTTTTGAATTAATGGCTATCTATGTGTCAGGCGACACACAGTAAATGAGGTATTCCGTTATACCTTTATATGTCCAAAGGGAATGTGTATATTTTAGATGTAAAGTGGCCTTGCGGGCATTGTGACACATTCAGGTGCTTTGGAATAACAAAAGCAAAAGTCAATTATTAGTTCTTTCTTGGTTTACTTTTTCAGGACTTCCAGAGCTCTGCTTGGTAACTGTAACTCTAAACAGCATTGAAGATCAGCTTGTTCAAGGGTTGAGTTAGTGTAGTGGTTTCAAAGCTGGCAGGCTTCACTCAGCCTGTTACATTTTGTTTCTTGTTTCAGTAAAAACGCGTGGAGGACACCTGAGGAGTCGCACACTGCAGGGTCGCATGGACACTCAGATAAGAAGCGTTGGGACGGGTTGTGACAGCCTTGAAAAGGCCCTGCCATTTCTTTAGATAGTGCTAATAAAGGTTGAAAATGTAATGCCAGTTCTTATTTCAAGAAGGAAAAACAAGAAGCTTCAACTGCGCATGATGTTCTAGAAACACTGAAAATTATGCTTCAACAATAATAATTATACAGTAGAAAAAATGTAAATTGAACTTTTTATTGTTGAAGGCACACATTTCCATAGGATGAGTTTTGTGTTTGACCTCTAGAAGGAACTGTGTTATAATTTCGTGTGTACCATACACTTTGATTATTATAGCAGGAAATCTATTAACCAATTTTATAAAGATTGAGGCTATAGATCTTGAATCAGATACATGTCAGAATGATAGGATGCAGAAAACCAACATTATGGCACATGCAGAAACATCTGGATTCCCATCACATTAGAAATTGCTCAAAGGCCTCACTGACCTACAGTAACAGTTTTAAGTAGACAATCATGTTTAGAGTTACATTCACCATTACTGTTTCAAGTTCTAAAAATCCTTGTAAAAATAAGAGCTTGAAGTTTTGCTAGTTTTATTAGTGTAATGTGATCCTCTTAAATCCCAGATTTTCTGTCTTACAGTAGCAGTATTTTATTTTCTTAGGTATGCACAAAGTCCCAGGAGAGTGTCTGTCCATACTCAAAGTGCAGACTTCTCTGCCACCTCTCAAGTCAAACCATGCCCCAGGACATCCACACCACCGTTTATGAGACTGTCTCTTGATTGTTAGCGTTCAGCTAAAGTGCAGATGTTTTGAAGTGTTAGATGGGTTTGCAGTGTTCTGATGAATGTCATGGTGGAGCTGCAGGTGGTTTATTGTGTGCTCTAGAAGTCATGTGAAGAAGATTGACTGTGGTGCACTTTGAGCACTGGCCCCAAGATAACTGGGCTCACATCCGTCACCGGTGAATTTTCCCCGGAAATTAACCTCTGTAGCTGGTGAAGGCTTGGTCAGATAATTATCCATGTTCTTCCCTTCTGTTGCAGAGTTATGACTACCATTTGATCTTCTGTCATACTTTCCAAATGAATGATGAGAAAAAATTGCATTTCGGGAATTTCTATTAGGTCCATACTATATGTGGATGATTCATATTTGAACCTCTGAGTGCCCAATCTGCCCAAATGGACGTTAGCCTCATTATTTTAATATGCCAGTGACAAGGTGCATCAAACCCCTTAACTTTTTCTCGGGAGTACTTTTTGATTTCAAGTGTGTTCCAGAATGCAGAAGAACAGCCATCCATTTTCTAAGCGGTTTATCCAATAAAAAGGAAGGACACACACAGACACAAACACACACTCACGTCAGGGCCAATGTTCCCAAAAGCAAGTTAGCCTCCCAGTGCGTAGGTTAATTACATAGAGAATTCACATTGAGAGCACCCCAGGTTCCTATTTGATATATTTTAAAATAAGAAAAAATAATAATTTGGGGCAACTCAGTAATTTAAAGAACTGAATTTGACCTGGAGACTTAAAGAGATTCTGTTAAATGAACTGATTATATATATACACCCATATCGTTTAGATATAGAATATGTCCACAAAACACCAAAGAAAGATTACTCTTACACAACACAGTCCTCTCTTGGGAATCTGTATTTTCTGCAATGTCTACAAAGAAAGCATGATTACACCAATAGCTAATTTGACTGTTTTATATAAGTGTTACTAATGACAAAACTCCATTGAAATACAGTAGTTTCAATAAATGCTGCTTATAAGGTCTGGGTATGGTCTTATATAGATTAACATACAGTACATATTTAGATAATGGAAATCCACATACATGTACATACAGTATCTGGCTTACTATTAAATAATAACTCTAGGTTCTGAAAAGTGATGCTGACAATATAATATAACTGCAGTCAACTTCTGCTGAAGGCTTAAGGCAGTTATAATATTTTAGATGCCAGGAAGGAATGAAAAGGGAAATCACAGCAGTTACAGTCCATACTGTTTAATTTCCTCCAGCTACTGTATATGTTACTGGTTTAACCTGACATGTCCATAGTTCCAAATAAACAAGTGGGACCTAAAATATCACAGCACCAAACAATTTAGATTATGTTTGCACCCTGTTCAAAGCTTATCATGTGCCAGCAATGCATTAAGATTTCACTATATATATATGAAAATGTCAGCACTCACTTTATATTGTTTTTACTAATATAACATAATGTATCTGACATCCACAATAAAAGTTTTCCCTTCCTGATTTAACTATTTAAGTTATTTGAGGTAATTTTAGGATTTTAGAGGCAAATTTAGAAACCATGTAATGCAGAAAAAAGTTATTTTGTATCTTACTGACAAAAAGTATAAATACATGAACTCCCCTCCCCACAGAGAGACATTCCCACCTCCCAAAACTAGGAATGCAATTAAATATTGTCATTGCTGGAGGAAATAGCAGGATATTTGTTTTGTTTTGGTAATCTTCTGTGCTTCTAAAAAAAACTAAACACGAGCAAGGCTAGCAATAATTTAAATAAGTTCATTTTTTGTTTACAGTATGTATTTAACAATAGCTCAATTACAATGAGCAACAGAGGAGGCCTTGAAGCTGTATGTTTATGTAGAAATAGCACAGAACCTATGTTCTTCAACGAAACAAACCTCCCTGCCTGTACTTCAGTATGAGGGTCTTGAATATGTTTTTAAAGACCTCTCATGCTCGTTCAGGTGACACTGTGCCAGAAGGGGTTGCGAGATGGATGAGAGACACAGAAAACTCAGATGGCCTTTACCTACCCATTATTTCTACCAAGTAAAAGCCTGCTTTAAAATGTTTGGAACAGCTGTTGAGTGATTTTGGATGTCTTGTTGAGCAGTAAAAGCTGCAAGAAAAGTGCTACTTTCAGCTTTTAAGGCTGTATCGGTTTGGCAGTGCAGTAAGACATTCTGAGGTTCAAGCAAAGATCGTAGGCCACGAAAATCAATTCAATGTGGTGGCAATTAATGGAGAAACGAATTGAATTCAAAATCATTTCATTTGGGTTCTAATACTAGTGCTATTTTTCCCCAGTGGATACTTTGTAGGATTGTAGGACACAGTGAAGAAGACCTGCAAGTCATGCCTTGAAAGTTCAGCATTCAATTATTGTTTATGGGATGAGAAAACTTCTGTAGGACGAACTTGGATGTAAGTCTGAGCTCACATATACTCAATTGCCTGAGTGATGAGATAATCTATATATTGTATCTTCTATATAAATATAATTTGATATTTTCCTACAGTTGCAGAGGTGCACACATTTTAAATCAATAACAAGATTGTTGTTACAGTACATCCTGCATTGGTGTAACCAAATAGCTGATCACATCCTAACTACTGATCAGTTATAAATAGCAGGCACCTGGGACTGACCAGACTAGACAGGCATGCAGTCCCTAATATACACAAAAGATTTTGAGGATCATTCGGTTGAAAGTACTGTAACTGATATTGGGTGGTTTGTTTGTTTGTTTGTTTTGATTTTGAGCATGAACAGGAACTATCTGCAATCGCCTCTTTGTACCTTAATCACCAGAATGGCTTTGACTGCAGTGAGGACGTCATGATTACCAGCAAACAGGAATAATCGGGGTTCAGTTTTTCTCTGGATTCCACAACCCCAGAACTTCCAGCCAGCCAGCCCCTACTAACTCCCACAGTCAGAATCGACTATGCTGCACTCATCAATCCAGGTTACTGCTATCAAGTCTTCCAAACTCTGAGGTCTTCCAAACAGTATACCAGTCTCCTATTGGAGGCACAAACTAAGGGACAGGAGCTCTCCGAACGCGTGTGTGTAAAGGATGTTCTCTGTTTTGACTTGAATGCAGATCATTCTGCAAAACCACACAGAGGCTGACAGATTTGTCATATTGACTTAATGACTATCCTATGAACATAGAACATTTTTTTCAGAGGAATAAAAGAATGAACAAAAAAATCTATATGATCTTGAGATGCATGCATGCACTGACATTACAGAAAACAAGAGAAACCAGTCCAAGGTAATGATTAAACCCAAACTCCTTCCCCTGACTGCATTTGATCTCTGATCTGTATTTATTTCTAAATAATGTTACACAAATCAATGCGATGTAATATTGGATATTATTGAATAAAAATATATTTGTATGATTGTATATATGTTTGTTGATTTTTCTATAATAAACTTAATTTACCACCATTTAAATCAATCTGGTCTGACCAAAAACCAGGACACGAAAACTTTATACTGTCATCCTGCATTGGTGTAACCAAATAGCTTTGTACATCCTAACTACCACTTCCATTGACCAGTATATACCAGTGTTTCACAACAGTATTTATTACAGTATGTAATTTTTTTTTCTATACAGGCAACAAACATCCTCAGCTTTGTATACAGAGGCTGTAATTAAAGTAAGTTGGGCTATTAAAAAATTACGTTGTGAAAATTGGTCCACTTAAACATTGAACCATGGGGAAAATTTCACATTCCAGGCATATCATGCAAATTATTGTTTTCAGCAATGCACCAGAGACATGTGCACCAAGATTAATTCCTCATAAGTATCCATATGTTGCCTTTGAAAATTCTCCACCCCTTTGCTAAAAAGAGTGAAAGAGTGTAGTACTGTATATACAGTACTACATCTGCAAGAATCTGTTCGATATGTGTGGCCAAGTAGTTGTACAAATATTCATTATCTATACATATACAATATATACACTGTTGTTTTAACTAATATCTGTAGTGATGCTGTTTTTTTAATGTTTGATTCATTTCCATTGGGCTATTATACAGATCTTATCAAGCAAGTATATCACTGGGGAGCTGCTTGTTCAGAAAGACTTGTCATTAAAGAACCTGGGGTGATCTGGATTTGACTTTTAGTCTAGGTCTCACAGTTCTGGACGTAAGAGTGGCTCAGTGTCCTGCTAAAATTTGTGATCTCCAATAGTTCATACAGTGACCAATGGCAATATCTTTTCAGGAGAGCTCCAGGCTGAACTGCTCCACAGTGAGCACAAAATGTGGGCTAGAGAAGTTGCTGCCATGCCTGATTACCCTCTTAGATAATTAAAACGGTTGCCATCTCCACAATAAAGACATCAGATCGTAAATTAACAGCCTGGCCCAGCAGGGGACTGAGCGGGCAGGTGGCATCTGCTATCTTCTCCCTCGGGCTCTGTTCCGGCCAGCCTGGCTCCTGACAGCTGTCTGCCGCGCGCGCCATGTCATCCTTCGTTAAAGAGTGCGCGGAGACGAAGACAGGACCTCATCGCCCCATCATTTCTCCCACTTTCTGTTTGCTTGCTGTATGCCCCTTGTGTGCTCTTTTCAAGATTTTTCATTGCGTAAAAGTGAATAACTGACATTTCCCCCCTGCATCAGATCACATTCAGCGTGAAGTCTGACTTAATTTCTGTCGCTACGTCACTACTGTGCTGCAGCTTTTCAGGGACAAAAATACTGTATACATATACTAGTCTCAAATCTCTCAGAAAGAGCCGCCATTTTTGAAGCCAATGGTTGTAAGGCAATGTCAAATGTATGTGCTTTTCTTTCAGCATAACTTAGCCAATACCAATTGAAAATGCCAGAATCAGTGTTAAATAACAACAGGTGCTATTTTTTAAACATCCCCTTCCAAGACCATACACCAATAAATGTGACAGCTCTGTAAAACAGCTCCTGCTCATGAAGAAAAGGTTTGGTCTAGGCTTTTATATATGTATAGTACACTGCCAAACACTCAAACATTAAATAATTGCACTGGCAGGGCTACTCGAGGTCTGCAACCCAGAGCCCCAACGCTGTGAGTCAACAATGGTAACCATTACACCACAGTAACATTTTGCCTGTTAAAGTGCTATTTACTCAATATTGTGCAATTTGCTAAAACCCACATTCAATTACAAGACTCAGACACCAGTCAGGAATTCGTGATGTTTCACTTGAAGGAGTCTTACTTCTGTTTTTTCACTGTTCCACTCCAATGGAAAGACATTGAGATTTGCATTTGGCAAGTAGGGTGATCTTTGCAATAAGCCTAGTTACACCATGTGTCTCCGTATATTTAATGACTCCCCTACATCAAATTTCCTGTAACAACTAATCTAACAAGAGGTAATTTGTATTTATAATCCATATTAATGGCATAAAGCACAGCACATTAACTTGAGTAATTGTGTGCCAAACACTCAAACATTAAATAATTGCACCTGCACGACTACAGAGATTTCAGATACTGTACTCAAGACTAAATCCATTATATGTAGTTTTTTCCCTTACTGAGTCAAGTTTTAATTTTCAGTTTTAACTTTTTATTCATGTTACTGATTCCCACAAATTTTGCCAGCTGGTTTTGACAGAACATGCGCCTTACAAAACTGCAGGGGCCAGTTTTTTTTAACCTGTTTCCTGGAAATTCAAATGGGCAATTCAGCACAAGAACTAAACGTTCAGACAGTGATGATGTCAAGGAGCTATTGTTATTGAGATTTGCTATGGAACACACCTCTTTGCTATGGAAGCCACTGACATTGACACTCTTGTATTACTGACAAAAGTAAACCCATTGGCTTACTTTCAGCATTGTTTGTAACCTGATGCAGCATCCTTTGCACTAGATCATCCTATATCCTAAATCATAATTGGTGCGTTAACCAAGTCCATCATTGTTTTCAGTAATGCACCAGTGACACGCACCAAGATTCATTCCTTGTAAGTATTCATATGTTGCCTTTGAAAATTCTCTACCCCTTTGCTAGCACTGCTGGGAGCTTTTTAAGGCAAACTGTCCCTCAATATGACGGCTTCAGCAAACACTACCAGATACACAAACTATCACCCATTATCAACATTTAACATTCTGGGGGTCACATGATGCTATATCTCTATATAAAAAGGTGATATATATCAGGAATGAAAGCAGCGCAAACACTACTTACAAAAGCACAAACCAGCACAAAAAGAGCACAAAAGGTGGGTTTTATTGTTGGCACTGTTCTATTTGTAGGGAAACCAACTTCATGGAGCTGCATAACTGCCATATCTCAACCAGCAAGAGTTTCACTACTGGACTTATATGTAAAGCACAATAGAGTCCTTCACCAACTAAAACATTTTAAATGTGGTATTAATAAATTGCCAGAAATCACAAACATTATTAATTTGATTTATTTATATCTATTCTTATTCCACAAATTGGATGTACTCTATGACTGGAGAAAATAATATTGTGGCATGTGTTAGACCAATATTAGAGGTAGCATCTTTTCTTAAATCAAGCTCTGAACTGTACAGTAAGTGTTTTTTTAAAACAAATGGATGGTGAAAAGGATATCTGAATAACTGGAATCTATCAATCCATTTTCTAACTGCTTCATCTGATACTGCAGGGGAGCCAGAGCCTATCCTGCCAAGAAACAAGGACACCAGTCCATCATAGAGCACATAGTCTGGCTACTATGGGAGGAAAGCAGCACATGAGGAGGAAACCCACATGACCATGGGGAGAGCATTTACACCCCTTTAGATAGCACCCCAGGAACTGAACCCAGGGCTTCAGCACTGTGAGGCTGCAATGTTAACACCTGTACCACTATGCCACCCATAACTTCATTTATGCAGACATAATTATTTTCTGTTTGGGATGTTGGCCAATATAAAGCACTTTTAATTAATCATAATTATAATTGAATTATATTGTGCCTCCAATGATGGTTTTAAATCTCCCTTGAGGCACAGTGTAATGGATTCTTTGTCGGATGCCTGTGTGAGGGAATCTATATTTCTGACTGGAAGGTTCAGCTGAGGTGTCACTGCTATAAAGAGAGGCGATTCCAGAGCTTGATAAGAATCAGGTGTGGTCAGTCTGTGAAACTGAGATTGAGAGACTGCAATTATATTAAATATAATTATTAAATACACCTGTTGACAAAGCTGATGGGAGGCAGCTGTGATAAACCAGGAGGAAGTAAGTAAGTAAATAAATCACTATTATTCTGTATAGATTGGGAGTTGGTTCATTGAATTGCTTCTGGACAATTATAATGAATCACAGAAAATGTGATCTCTTTCATTTAACTGAACAAAAGTTCAAGCACCTAATTCAAAGCTGGGTGCTCCAGTTTCCTACAGTCCAAAGACATACTACACGGTTAATGCTTCTGGGAAAATGAGCCATGGTATGACTGTGTGCTTGTCTGTGTCTGCCTTGCGATGGACTGATGGAGTGGCTTGTGCCCATTGCTTGCTAGGATAAGCCCCTGCTCCCCCCTCACCCTGAATTGGAAGAAGCGGTTAGGAAATGGATGGATGAATGAAATCACAGGGCGTTGGTAATATGTTGTTACTAACGACTTGACTTCATGTTTCCACCATAGGTTGCAAAATTCTCAACCATATTGACAAAATCATATTGTCTTCTGGTGATATTATTTCAAGTGATACTCAAATACAAGATCTTGAATTAAAGTGCTCTGTGGGTATAAATGTTCTCTCAATGACTGTCCCTGGAAGGCAGTCATGTTTGGCTCAGCTGTCAGCCTTTTCTCAGGGGCTGCTTAATGGCGGCTAAACTACTGTAGGTTTGCTGATTAGTCCAAGTGATTTCATATAAAATCAAAAAGCAGTTTGCTGGGCTGTTATTCTTGAAAATTCCTGTGACGGCTTCATGCAATGTTCTGACATCAATACGGTGAAAACAATCTCCAAATTGGTTTGTATTGCAAATGACAATCCTCACTATTTTACAACAGGTGTGCTGTTGTGCTGAGGATGACTGAACTAAGCAGCTGTAGTTCTAAAAGCTGTGAAGTTGTATAGCGTTGATCAAAAATACTGTAAATTCAGGATGTGGCTCAATGTGAAATGTTCAAATCTGAAGTCCAACACTTACTGTAATATATTTGAAATATGTAACATAAAATCATGCGGATATGAAAGTAGTTTGGTTATACAAAGAGTAAAAAACACCTAAGAATAACCACAAATAAGAGAAGGCTGTTTAACTCCTCTTGCTATCTGGAGTCTACAAGCTGTTGATTATAATTCCTTGCGTTTATGGTATAAAATGCTATTGATCCCAAAGGATCATCAAGCATTTTTTCATATATGAGATGAACCAGTTCATCCACCATCGAAGTCCTAGAGAATTTAGGTGCCCTATTCATGAAACCAACCTTGGTTTAAAGAAATGTCTCTTGTTCTTTGTTTTGGATCCATAACCTCTTGGTTCCTCAAGTCCTTGCTTTGCAAATGATCCATAAAGAGTATGCACAGTTGACTCTGTAAGCTCCCTTCTAGATTTTAAATACTTGACTGAAGTCAGCGGTCAGTCTTCACCATGCTCAGATTACAAAGGTTCAATTTTCACCTTGTATGTGTAACACATTAATGTTCCTTTTTTGAGCTGTGCTTTGGGACATTCCATAAAACATACAGATTTAAAGAAAATGCTACAGTAAGTGTAGATCTGAGTGAAAACTGTTGCAGGAATTTAGATGTGTGGTTATATTTGGACAGAAAGATTTTTTTAAGCAAGTGTGTTTAAAAAATGTATTAAGACATTTCTTCATTTCTTGACAGGTCTAAAGAAGAATTAGAAGCCTTCCTAGACGTTACTGATTCATGGTAAGCGGAGAATCAGAATACTCATTTTCTTCCCTTAATAGCTAGCTAACTGATGTAAAACATTTATACTGTATTGTTTAAGGACGATTTCAATTATATAAAACCAAATTGTCAATAGTTGTTAGAAAAGCTCAGAGAATGGCTTTTTCATGCCAGGTTCCAAAAATATATGAAGTCAAGTAGCGGACACAGATTCACCCCAGCACAGCTGTCTGCAGTGATGTCTTCACTTGTAATGCTAATGAAGACAGATGCTGTTGCATTTACCCCTGCAGTGATGCGTTGGCTCAAAAATATGTTACGATGCTGAATAATGGCATTGGTCTGTCTCAGTCTGCGAGGAGTTTGTTTGTCAAAGTGTGCTCTGTGGGAAAAAAAGGACTCAGGACTCATCTCAGTTGTTTAAAGCTGAGAGCTGTGCTTGAAATCTAAAAAGTCTTATCTTACTGTTAAGGAGTTCAGGTGGAGACAGTGCAGCAAAATGAGAAAGGGGCAAGTGGCATATTTTATTTTTTTCTGTAGATAACAGTAGATATTTTGTTATGGTGGCCTTCTGTTCAGAACAGAAAACATCAAAGATGTCCCCCATGACATGATACATGCACCCCCCTGTTCACTTCAATATTAATTTCAGGGGTGGTGTAGTGGTTAGCATTGCTGCCTCACAGCTCTGGGGCCCTAGATTCAGTTCCTGGGGTGCTACTGTGTTGAGTTTGTATGGTCTCCCCATGTTTGTGTGAGTTTTCACTCACAGTCCAAAGATACAATGGTAGGTTAATTGGCATCTGGAAAAACTAGCCCTGGTGTGACTGTGTGCCCTGCGATGCACTGGCATCCTGTCCTGGGTATACCCTGTCTTGCACACGTTATTTGCTGGGACAGACTCAAATTCAGTTCCCTACCCCAATCCAGTATAGGATAAAGCAGTTAGCAAATGAATGGGTGGATTAATCTGAGAACTTTTCAGATCATTTGGCTTCAGTTTTCCTCATGTGGCAGTACACACTTACAGCAGCTCAATGATGCTGTTGAAATGGTTAGAGGGAATTAGAGGGTCAGGTCTCTCGGCTCCCTGCAAGTGAAACCCCCAAACCCCATTAGCATGAGGAACGAGCCCCTCCTGCAGCTCAGTTTTCAAATTGTAAACCACGTCCTGTGCACTTGTGATGGAACCTGTCAAAATAGCAGTGGCTCAATTGGTGGGTGGGTCAGAGTAGCTTGTGTGGGTGAGGGTGATGGTTCATTGCCGTGACCTATGAGATAAGAATGTCTTCGATTTCAAATTTGAAGGGCACATTATTAAAAAAAAAATCAGTATAAAGCTTCTGACTGCGAGTGAGGGTTATGATAGGCAGGAGTCCGGCCCAGAAATGTAGAATGCAGGATAAACCTAGACCCCGGGTGGAATGACTGTCCATCACTGGATACACGTACAGGAGAAGTTCAGTGATGCTGATTAGCTTGTCTTTGGGAAGTGTGACTTTTTCCCCCAGCTTCACAGGCTTCTGAAGGACAATATTCTTGAGCTCCGGAAGAAATGTTTTGTAAAGTACATGGCTAAGATAATTGGAGTGAAAAAGCAGGCTTTGGAAGATTGATTTGGAGTGGAAAGACTGCAGATTTCCATAGGTGGCTTTGCAAACTAGACACATACAGTATAGAGGATGTCCTGTCACGTTACCTGGGACCCAAGAGCTGTTATGGAATGTGTCTGGATACTAAGATCACAGTTATCTGTGTATTATTGGGAAGGATACAGTTGGATACAGTTGTATCTAAATGTCTACATTTTCTGCCATCTGTTAAATCGGAAAGATGGTCTTGGAAAAGTTTATTTTCTTTAGAGAAGATTTCAGAAGGAGTGTCTACTGGGCTCCCTGTTTTCTCTTTAATGGATTTCAAAACAAGAAATTAATAAACTGAGAGATTTAAATAAATGGGAACAGGTGGCATTGGGGCCAAAAAGCCTTGTCCCCCCTCTCTCACATTTCAGCACAGCAGGGGTGAGTAGGAGAAATCTGATCCTGGGCGGCAGTGAGTGACAAGAGCAGGCTTCACTAGGTAGGCCCACACCAGTGGGGTCAGAGATACTGCACTTCCTGCTTTTCACTGAGCTCACAGGCCGAGACACAAGCCAGACAGATTTTGACCCATTTGGACTTTAAACAGAGGATGAAAGGCCTGGGGATTGTGCTGCTGATGTGCTCCATTTGTGCTGTGGCAGGTAAGGATGACTAATAAGTTAATAAACCAAGGAAACGTGAACGTGAGGGATGCAGACATGGTAGTGCGGAAGTAGAGCTTTCAGACATAAACATGAAAACCTACCAGGGGCTGAATCGCTTTCCACACTTCGTTCAAGTTTCCGTTAAGTTATATTGTTGGGAGATTACTTGCTACAGCAATACATATCAATGCAATGGGTTGTATAATAATCATTCTTGAAGCTGTTGCGCAGTTCACAAAAGCTCACTCTTTGACTCTGAGAGAAACAAATATGAGGTTGTTAGCTTTTAACGATGGGTGTAACTGATATACTGTAGTTGCTTCCCACATTAACAACTAATTCCCTACTTTCCTGTCACAATTAATAATGCTAAATAATACACAGCTGATATTAGTTTATCAATCTTGACATCAAAAAGGTGGTGATCAGGCATTATTGGAAGAGGATGAATACTCACCATGATTATAATCTTGTTGACAATCGATCTGCACTATTCAAGGTCACTGCGCCACAAAAATGCATTTTACACCACTCTTGTGCATGTCAAAGACATTAAAAACCCACTTAACATTAAACATCTAGTATTCAGCAAAACCAGCCAGTTGATTTAAGAAATGCTCATTTTATCAGATGAGTATAATATCCTGGAAAGCAGACAAAATCCATTTTTACTGATGATCATCAAAGTGCCGGTAAACCAAATAATGATCTCCTTTTGCAGGAGGTGTGCAATTTTCCTCCCAATCACAACTCTTGTATCTCATTTGCCTGTCCTCCTCCTGACATTCCTGTGAGTATTTATTTTGGTTTTGTTTAAATGCATATTCCATGCATTACTGTGTAATCCCTGACTCTGCTCCAGGTGTATCAACACTCAGAATGTAGTTGGAATGTTGTAGATCTTCCTGATCACAAAGGAGAGTTCTTATTTTTTTTAAACCCACATTACAATGTGGGGCAAGGCTTCTCACACCGGACCCTAGCAGCATATCACTTCTACTCAATAATCTGAATGATCTCAGCGGTCTCTGAATAATCTGGCTCCACCATACACATTATCTCTGAAATCGTTCATGTTTACACTCCTCCCATAGGCTCTGTTCCGTTTGGTCTGGTCCTTTGCTCACTGTACCTAGAACTAAATATCAGACTTTTGGTGATGGTGCTTTTTCTGTCTCTGCTACATTGTGATAGAGTGCCCTTCCTCTGACTTTCTGAGGCAGAATCTTTGACTATTTTTAAATGTAAACTTAAAATGCATCTTTTTTGATGGGGGTCTGTCTAATTGTCCACCAGTTTGTCTCATATGTTTTTGTTTGATTTTATTTGTTTTTTTTACCATTATGTCTAAGTTAAGAAATTTACTTTATAAATAATTATTAGAGTAGTCTACAGACCATTCTAAATCACGTCAGAAATCAGTCCAGTCCATTTAATTTCAATAACATGACTGTATGGCTTGTTCCACACCCCCACAACTCTCTGCATAAAGACTTGTCTTCCTCCCTCCCCTCCCTGTTATCACATTCAACATCTCTTCATTTGCAAACTAGAAAGTCCTCAGCTGTGTTGTATAGCTCACAGGATAAAACAGGCACTCAAACTACTACAAAAACTACTACTACAAAGGCTTGTATTTCATTGCAGTCGTTTGTACACATCCAAAATAAAGTATTCATAAGCTTCTTCAAGAGACAGTTTCCAAACGAAGTATGAGATTTATAATCTATGTTTAAAACATTTGTCATTCTCCAATTTCTTGGAGATTTCTTGATTACCTAGTTTTTAAAAATACCTGAAAACTACTCATCTGGTAGCTAAAGGGTTATATTTTCAAGCAGGCGTGAGGAGGAAAATAGGGCTGATACATTTTTCAAAAAGCCATATTCTAAAATTTGCACAACTGCAGCACCTTTCCAGGGTCTTTAGGCATTTTAGATTTACATTTCCAGTTTTCGTTACTGAGCACTCCTGGGAGCAATTCCTGAAAGATATAATTAATTCATGGAATATTCATTATTCATATCCAGGAGGGAAAATGTCTGTGTCAGCGGCTGTTCCTGCAACTCCTGTCTCTCAAGCTGTTGCTCAACTAACTGCATCTGGAGGGTGTTTTTTTGTCCGAAAACCTTGGTTTTTTTTTGGTCCGAAAAACTTGATTATTCGCAGAAACTGCAGCTTCAGCTTTTGGATTTACAATATTAAACCACAAGCTTGCAGATGCTCATAGTAATTCCTTTCCACCACTGTCCTTTTGAAACCTCAGTTCCTGTAAGTACCAGAAAAAGAATTTCCATTTACGTAAGAAATGTGTACATAAGTCTGAACGGTGAATGTAGAGGAAGGGGCGTAAGTGGTTTCTCTATGGATAGATCCAATATACTGCTCTACCGACACATGACAGTATACCTAAATGGCATACCAGTCTATCTTCAACAGCAATTCTAGATGCAACATATCATGTTATCGATCCCACCGCTCATAGATGTGCATGGAGATACAGGCTCAGTCATACAGTATGACAACAGATTAAAGCAGATCTACATGAGCTATGGATAGTTGTTCAGTCACTTCTTAAAACCTGCATCCTGCTTATTTTAATGGTTGTGTTTTTAACCACCAGCATCTGACAATACCTGACAATAAGGTTATGTGAATTGATGCATTAGCCAGTTTTGCTGTTGCCTTCAGCAGTGCCACAGAGGGACTGTTCATAGTTATACCTTTTGTCACTTCAATGGGACCTATTTTCCTACAGAATAGTGAATAGAAGGGCTTGGCCAGGTCTGCTACTACTTTACAGGGCTCAGATCTCATAGGACATATCATGTACTAGTCTAATACATTCTTGAGCTTTTAACTTATCTGCTGTCAGTTAAAAGCCTAAGAATGTATTAAATTAACAGGCTAAAAGAATTGAATTTTAAGACCCTAGTCTTAAATATAAATGATTATAAAGTATTTAAAATCCACAAAGGCATTGACAAAGTCTAACCCAATGGGATTGTTTGGTTTGTACATTGAAATGCAAACAGAAAAGTATATTTAAAACTAAAGGACATCAGGAGTGTGGAACCAACTGCCCAGCTAAGTTGCTGAAGTCAATACCCTGGTTTCTTTCAAGAAACGGATGAGATCCTGGGATTAAATATGATCTAGATGGGCTAGTCACCTTGTTCTGTGGCACCCTAATATTATTACACAGGTTGGGCACTTTTTTCTAGAGACTTGCAAGTCTTTGTGTATAGAAGTGCTTCCTTTTTCCACCCTAGTGGAGACTATTCTCTACTATCCTGATGAGTCAAGTAGATGACATCTGGATTGTCTTTTCCTTTACATATTTGGTATTTTAAATACTAAGAATCCCCTTATGTTCTACTGTTAAAAGCAGAAAAGTCCAGTTTAATAGTTCCTTGCAATTTTTTACCTTTGTATTTTTTTATAGCAATCCATTCACCTAGTGGTCAGATAGTGCTGATGTTATCAACGTTCAATAGTGCACTTTGGCAGCAGAATTTTAAATCAAAATCTTGATTTTTTTCCCCCCTGTCAGATGCTTCTGAAGCTGAGAAAAACCTGATAGCCAAGCTGTTCACCAACTACACCTTGAAAGTGCTACCGGTGAAGAACGTGGGGGAGAGGCTGGTTGTCAGGGTGGGGATGAAATTGGCCTCGCTCATCGATCTGGTAAGACCACAGACCCCTTTACAAAAATGCCTGCAACGATGGAAAAGTGCAGTAAAGCACATCCTATATAGAGCATGGCAAACTGGATGAAGCCAAGGCATATGCAAAGAATGGAAAACTGTGCAATACCACTTTCAAAATCACTGTAGTAAACATTCTCTTGGGATTGTGGCTAAGGGTCTTCGCCTGTGGCTGGAAGGTTGCCAGTTTGTATCCCACAGCCGGCAGAGGAATCCTACTCTGTTGGGCCCCTGAGCAAGGCCCTTAACCCCAACTGCTCCAGGGGCGCTGTATAAATGGCTGACCCTGCGCTCTGACTCCCTGTCTGTGTCTCATGGAGAGCAAGTTGGGGTATGCGAAAAAATGCCAGTACAGTAGGTGTAATAGAAAATTTCTGTTGTCAGAAATCAGTGTCTGTTGTGGACGCTGGATTTGTTAATGCCCCCTACTCTGTACTGTCATCATCCATCCATCCATTTTTTAACTGCTTCTTCCAATTCATGGCCCCAGCAAGCAACAGGCACAACCCAGGCATAGGGTACAACCTGGACAGAACACCCGTCCATCTTTAGGCACATGGGAGGAAATGGGTGCACATGAACAGAGGAAGAACATACAAGCTCCAGGCAGATAGCAGCCCAAGTCTATCATCTATGGGGGAAATATTCACTGTAGTCCCATTGCTATAGAGCAGGCATGCGCTAATAGAGAGTCCCAATTCAGTTACTATTACAGGTCACCTGTTTTTAAACATTGGCATCACCTGTAAACTATTGATGAAACAAAACAAAGTAATCTGTGCTATTAGGAGAGCTCTGGTCCTTTAGGCTTGAAGATGTACTGTAGATTTTAGTCCTAATTAATATGTCAACACATCACCTACTGTATTTATTTGAAAATTAAATTTGAATTTTATTTGAAATTTAGAAAGAAATACAACAATATTTTGACACAGAGCATATTAGTGTTTCCCCTAGTAACTCCAAACTGCTGAATTCAAAGTTTCTGGCTTTGTTGCAATTCCTTAAATTGTATTCCTCTCACAATCTAGTATTTCTGAATTAATGTCATATTTCTTAACAGTACAGTTATGGCACATTCTAAGTGCACTGCAGACGTTTCTCAATCCATTGTGCATCGAACATGTTTAAAGTGGAATGAGAAATGTGCATAAATTGTGATTGAAAGTGTCAATTATAAAAATTACAATAAAGGTCCTAAAGATTTATTGCTTGCACAAAGGATTTCCAGTACACAGTGCCAGGACCGACAAAGCAAAATCCTTAATAAAATGCAACATATTCTTAATAATAAAATGTACAGACAGACACAGCAAGCTGACCCCCACCCCCTCCAATATACAGCTTCCAGTGACACTGTGCCTCACATCCAGCCTGCTGCATCTTCTGTTCTGATCAGCACGAGACACTCTCTGCCACTGAGAGGCATGGCTGATGTCAAGCATCTTGGGTGAGAAATCATGCCGGGGAACGAAAACGGATAAAGGCTTTTTAACTCTCTGGCACATTATTGAAAGCACTGCAAGTTCACCTTCAACAGGGCCTGGATTTCCTGGCATTTTGTTGCACTTGGTTATTGTGCTTCATCTCATATGAGTCACCACTATTAATTTATTCTGATCATAATACGTTCCCTTTTTACCATTTGCTGTTGTAGTGCACTTTTTCAGCCCTGTTGGAGTTCTATGTCCATGTCTATCGCAAACAGTGAAAGCTGGAAGCCATAATATGGAGTTAATATTCAAGTTCTTATAGAGCCATGAATGACACCATTATATACTGTACTGTATGTGACAGCAGTTAACACATTGTTATGATTTACCTGAAACAATGATTGACTTACATGGTCTAAACGCCCTGCATTTCAAAGTCTGAAGTTTAAATACTGTAAGAACCTTCAGAACTGTGGTTCTTGGGGACCAGTAGGACAGCATACTGTAGAAGCAGTTCAGAGTGCTATAAGACAAGTTGATGGCAGAAAATATTCTGATTGCATTTTTTTTTTAAATGGCATACTTATAGATTTTCTTAACACAGGTGATTTTGTTCCTGTCATTTTTGTCAGATTTTTCAGTTTTTCTGCATGGAATAAATTAAGATGTTATTGCAAATCCGGCTAATATTTAATGATTCTTTGTTACTACCAATTAATGTTCAGCAAATGCTAAGATTTGTAGGACTACAGCAAAAATTGCAATTTCCTAACTGAACTCATTTTTCATTAGTTGGAGAAAATAAATACTGCTGAGGTTGTAATTTCAATAGAAGGGGATGAATCACATTCTGCTATCAGAAAGTTGCTTGTCCTGGTAGGGGTCATGGCTAAAGACCATCCCTAAGCACAGTGTGCAAGGTAGGACTAAGGGCAACTGCTTCACCCTGAATAGGATTCCAGTCCAACTCATCATGATCAAAACCCATGCAGATACACGTAGTCCATGCATGCAAACTCCACACAGATGGATGCCCAAGGATTGAGAGGATTTATTTCAGAGCTACTTTCCACTGTGCCCTCCAATATAGACATTCCTAAAATAATCTAAGCTTAATGTTACATAAACATGGAAAGGACTTAGGCATCACTGCAATTAGGTATTAAGTATGAATCATTCAAAAGTATTTGTATTATTTTGAATCAGGCTCAATAAAATGTTCCACTTACTTGTTGTTAGAAATGTACAGAATCACGTTATAACATTATCTTGCTAAATAACATATAACAGCTTACCACCTATTGCCATCTTTGCCCAAACTCCTAACTTCATAGTTAGACTTTTCCTAGTACTGCTACTAATAATTGACATTGATCATGTTTATAAAGGGCTTAGGGTTCCAGGAGGATCACAAAGCACTTTTCAAATTCATGAGAACCCATTTTGGCCACCAGCGAACTACAGCCCCCCCCCCCTTCCCTCCCACCTGCACCAGCAGCCCCACTGCACAGCTGATCATGTAGAGAAGAGGGGAATGCCATCACCATTTAAACTGGTATTTGTGCTCCATGAGGTGCCAGCTGTACCCTCTGCGGCTGGGGAAAAGGGGAGAGAGCTTTGCTTAGCTAAGAGCAGGAAATGACTCTCAGAAGGCATTCTTTGTTAGCATTACTGAGCTTGGCTTTCCTATCAGCCTGTGCACAAAAATCGGACTTGAGTGAGATGAGTGGAGATCACTCAGTCCATCCAGTGATATAGTACTATTACTGCTCCAAAATGATAGCTTTCAACACCAAAGGTCCGACTGCATTAATTCTGTTGACCAGATGAAACGTGTAACTGGCTAGCCAATCACAAGAATTGCCCCTTGTGTGGACAGAGTCTTGGGCTGAATTCTGGTTACATATGGACTTTCTCTCCCTCTCTTGGCTTGGCATCTTAGATTAAAGTTTATTTTTCAGACCGACAAAGGTGGTTACAATCACACAGTTAATTTTGTTTTCAGATAGGTTTCAACTGAGAGGCATTCTGACTTCTGAAGTCCAGAGCTTTAAAAGATCAGATCAGAGCTGGTGAATGGTTGTGTTTCCGGGAAGCGCAGTGTCCTTCTCCGCCCTCCAGTTCCTTATTGGTTGGTCATCTTTTGAATGATTGATTGCGACCCGCAGCAAGGATCCTGATCCAGCTGTGACGGTCTGCAGAAAAAGAAATGCAGACAACTGGCCATCTGTTATTTAAAGTACTAAAATGGACTCCCTTCCCTAGTCCTTAACACAAAACCCTAAAGTGTTGGATTTATTGTTTGTTGGCTTGACCACACATTAGTAGAAATCTTTAATAGCACTTCATGCTTAATGTAATTATATTCCTTGCTGCTCCATCCTCATGCTCCTAAAAGGATACAACCACCACGGAAAGAGTTCAAAGAGTTACAAGCTAATTCTTAGTCTGAAATACACCTCATCTGGACAGTCCAAGGAACACACATTTATCTTGTCTTCCAGTAAGGAAACTGTAAGCAGGATCACTGAGGCTTGAAAACAGGAGGTACATCTTTCCAATGTCAGCCAAGGAGAGCTGAGCATCTGGAACAAATGACCTACCAGTGCCATTCAGTGTGGAGGCAGAATCCAAAGTCACAAAGACACAAGCGAGAGAGATGCAGATGTCTGTAAAGCAATTACAAAGAGTATAGAATGCAGTGTTGCTCTGCAAGCTTTATGTTGGATTAACAGTACTTTTTCCTTTTCTACATACAATATGGCATATTTTAATTACTGCCTAGATTTAAAAAAACATTTCATAATGAATTAAAACCAGTACTCATTAAAAGCATAATACTAAAAATTAAAAAGCTTAAAGTATGTAATAAAACATCATTTCTAAAATATGACTGACACATGAAATTCCAATGCAGTAGTAATGGAAAATAAATGCAATGAAATAGGTATATATTGGAATATTATTGGAACCCACACAAACATGCATGTAGTGAAGAAAGTATTTTTATTCTTCTTTGGGTAAGAGCTGTGGCAGACACAAAATAATGTTAGCTGCTTCAACTGTGTGCAAAGCACCTTCTCTTTTCAGCCTTTGATTTTGTTCTTTGAGATTCAGGCTCTTAACTGGGAACATGTTAAAGTAAAACCACGTGAACATATAAACCATGATGACAGTTGAAACAGGTAATACTAACAGTAAGAGCTGATGCTTTTGAAATCAAAGGCCTCTTCTGGCTTCACATCCTTCTCTCTGCTCTTAAAGGAGTTACTGAACCTCTACAAATTTTGAAAAAGCCACTAACAGCTCTCTTAACCACAGGCTAGCAGATCCATCCCACTTACACATAGAGCAGAACCTGCCCGTGTGCTTTTCAGGGTTGAAACTGAAGCAACAGATGACTAGTCACTGTCCCACCCCTGTTTCCTGCAGCTGTCAAGAAGCATTAATCCACAGTTTTAAACAGACGTCCTAGAATGTACAGTACTGTAGACCAGTGGTAGCCTGGTGACAAATAATGCCTGTGATTTTTCTTCTAAATGTGCCGCAATAAGCGTCTGAGAGTTTACAGCTGTCATCACAAGCCAGTTCAAAGACATATTCTCCCCCCTCCCCACCTAAAACATGTCATGAACTCCTGCAAGAACCCAACAAGTTTCTGGAGAAGCTGTTCTGCAGAAAGCTGGGAAGTACCCTGGCCTGCCCTGGCAGGGCTCCGATAGTTGTTTTACTAGCCAGGAAATCCCAGTTAGAGGTGGCAAGTGGCCTCCAGCCGGGCTCGGACTGACAGTGGCTGCGTTCTAGAGTTCAACCTCTGCTCTGAGAAAGACCTCCTTGACCTCCTAGGTAGCCTGGGACACCTTTACTGTGCCATCCACAGTGCAGCCAGCGTTATAAACCTGACAAGGAGTACAGGTGCCTATGCATTGGTCCTATTTAGGGGATTATGTAGTAAAAGAAAATCTCCAGGACAAACAGAACAGCAAAAGTTTGGTTTAGCTAGGGGTGTGCTTGCCCCATAGAATCATTTACTTACTGTTTCTCATGGCACTAGAGCTGTGTCTACATACTTGGACAATATATAGAGTTTTATAAAACTCTCAAGACTGTTTTCCATTTCCATCTGAAATCGTTCTCTCCTAGCACTGTTTTCTAAGAGTGTCAAAAGCATCTGCTTATTGGGCCACTCCTAGTTGTTTTTCTATTTTAAGGTAAAACCAAAAATATCTTAATGCTTTTTTTTAGGTTTTAATGGATCATGAGAGTTAAATAAGAGAGCATTTACACTGGGTTGTGGTGGTGATGTTTGTGGCCCAACACGTCCTGCTCATAAAGAAAGAACAGAAGGCCAGCCTCTTGTTCTCTAGAAATAAATCATCTGTACTACAGCAGCTCAGATCAGGCAATAACAAGAGCCAGTCTGAAGTGCATTAAGGAATGAAAAACATGAAGGAGTACATTGATAGACTGCACACAGGGACATCGTAAGATTATTTGATGAGATTCAATCTGAGGTAAGCATTGAAAGGCTTCAGAGGTCATGTGGAAAGCTAGTGGCAATAATTTAGGAATGTAAGAAAGATAACCACAATATGAAAAAGTGAAGAAATAAGTTCATAGCAGTTCTTAATTTTGGTGTTCCCAGGTTTAGTTTATGTGGCCCCAACATCTGTTCATCTGTGTTATGGCTAATCGAATTGTTATACTATTATACAATTATACTATTATACAACTGAAATGAATTATTATAATTATTATACAACTGAACGCTTAGCTCTTGGACCATTTCGCTCAATATGGTGCTAGTTGAGCAATTCTGAAGCTGGTATTTCGGCCTCCTCTCTTAAGTGTGAAGACTTCCTTTATTATTTTCAAAACAAAACAGTTACACCCAGGGATCAGAAAGAAGAAATTATTCTGATTTGACTTTGCACCTAATTGGGCCAGTTTAGCTTGTTGGCTAAAGGCACTTGCATGTTTCAAACGATGCTGAATTTCATTATCATTATCTGCTTTCTTTGGCAGATATTGCTCAAAGCACTGGAGCATTGGTGTTCTGCATTCTTCAGTTATGAACCTCAATCAAATTTTGGTCTTCTGAATCGTAAATCCAATTGTCTCACACATCTCCGCAAATATGTTTACAATTGTCTGGAGATGCCATTCTGTCCAGGTACATATTGCAGCATCTTCAATATACTGGATTTTGGTGACAGAAGCCAGGGTGATTTTAAGTTTGGACTGGAAGTTATTAGAGATAATTAATAATTCACTGTACAGTATGTTCAGTCAGTCAGCTTCATCCCAGCAAGGAGGCAGTTAAATAGACTGTGACATTCAGAAATATTAAAAATAGAACTGGAGTGATGGCATACAACCTTTTTGATTGACTCCTATCTGAACTTCTGGACTTCAAATGACTATAATTTGTCCACGGGTGTTACTGCACACATCAACATTCCTCTGCTTTCTTCATGATGGAGTTAATCCACAATTCAGGGGGGTCTTTAAAGAAGTGCTTTATAAGTGGCAAACACCTTTGTCAGATCAAAGTAAAGAGCTTGCTGCCTGTCTCAGCAATTTTCCTGTAATGTACGAACTGCAAGAGGGTTTGAAACCACATGGGAATTCTGGCTGATGATTTTTATGAGATTGGTGCAGAATAATTATTGTAATGATTTTCCCATGATGGACTGCAGAGAGATTGCTCTGTAATTTTGGATTTGTTTCTGAAGATCAGATGAACATTTTCATCACACCAATCCTGCTATAAAGTCTAAGACACAGGCACTGGAGATTTTTCTTCATGTCTTCTCTGGTGATATGAACACTATTCTTCAGTTTTTGGTTAAGGCTTGAGAGTTTTTCCCTGATATACTCTTAATTTTTTTTCCTTTGCAGAAACCTTTGGGAGCCTGTTTTAGTAATCATAACGGAACAGTGACGGATTATTAGTTATTTCTGTGCTTTGTGTACTCTTATTATAATTCATTAGAAATTGAAGAAATAATAGGATTCATATACGTCAAGGCGGTGCAATTGAGATCCTAGGTTCAATTCCAGACCTAGGGTGCTGTCTGCATGGAGTTTGTATGTTCTCCTCGTGTTCACATGGGTTTCCTCTGGGTGCTTCAATTTCCTCCCATAGTCCAAAAACATACTGGAAGGTTAATTGAGTTGTGTGAAAACTGTCCCTAGTGGGAGTATGTGTCTGCCTAGAGATGGACTGGTGTCCTGTCCAGGACGTACCCCATCTTGTGCCCCTTTCTTGCTGAAAACCTCTGACTCCCCCTGACCCTGATTTGGATGAAGTGGTTAGAAAATGTATGGATGGAATATGACTCATTTTTGCCTCATAAACATGTCGGAGGCGTCTATTTTTAATAATTACAATTTATAATTACTTTGCAATCCACAATTTTTGAGTAGACAGAAACCTTGAAAAGATTCCAAGTAATCTTTGTTTTTGTTATTGAAGGATTTGGTTAAGTACTGTAAGTGGATATTTAACTAGACAGCAAACCAGCTGATATGGGTATCCTGACCACCATAATTAAGAACTAAATGAATCCTTTTTATATGCCCATAATTGAGCAGAGGTACCATTACAAATAGATCATAAGGTCCCCCTTATACGGTAATAATGACTTAATGAAACATACCTTTCGTCATCTAGGCAGTGTGAGGAAGCAATAAGCCAGACTAACAGAATGTTCAGTTACTGTATGCACTACAGTTACAACCACAGAATTTAAACTGATAGAATTGAATTCCCAAATGCACAGACATACTGTAACCTTTCTTGTCACCAAACCATAGAAAGAACATTTGTGTTCTTGAAATAAGGAGTGCAATTAAATGAGTTCCTGGTCTGAGAGGGATGTCATGTACTGGCAGATTAAGGTAACTGAATCTTTTCTACTCAAAACAGAGCAGGCTGTGTGCAGATTTGATTCAAGTGATCAAAATCAATCAAAATGTTGATGTAGCGGATGTCTTCAACATCAAAAATTAAAGGATCCAAGCACACAACTGGTTCCTGAAACAGAGGACATTTACACAAAGAGTTGTGGAGGTCTGGAACTAAGACTTTAGCCAATTCAACACTTTAACACTTTAGCTTTTAAAGTTGACTCCATTAGGCCATTTCTGTCTGCACCAGTCCAGAAAGTTGCTGCATCCAGCTCCTTAATTATTTTGATCATCAGTAGGACCAGTATCTGGTTGTAAAAACATTCTGGAAAGGAGTGGATTGAAGAGTCACAGTGTGACCAGCCTTGCATTAAGATATGTCTTGATGGGATTCTAATTAGCCGGTTTGTGTAAATGCTTCTGCATAATTGCTCAACTGCACTTCAAAGCTGTACTTTGACCACTGATCTTCTCTGCTTTAGGGTCTTTTTTCAACACATTTCTAGCCATTACGAATGCATACTACAGCTAACTGGATGACTAATGGGAGTTGTGAGCATAGAGCATTTTTATTTTAGTCTATTAGATGACAGCCATATCCAAATATATTTAATAAAAAACTGGGAGATCAAGACTTTGAATGCATAGCATTGGAGTTACACAGGAGTTCCCTGTGAGGAAGTTAAACTCCCAGCAGAAACCAAAAAAGAAAAAAAGTCCTTAGGGCCTCTTCTCATGAGTAACCTTTCTTATGTTCTTGGGTTCTTAGAAGGTGTGCTCAAACTTAGAAAAGTAAAGGACACAAGCCATCAGTTCACAAATCGGAATTCAGACAGTACCTGTGAAATATCGTTTTCAACCAGTTCATTAATTACTTTTGCTTTTGCTTTTGTTAGAATGAAAAGGAAGAGGAAATGAGTACCAATGTGTACATGGACTTGGTAAGTTAAATTTACAATACTATATTCCCAACTTGAGTGTTTGCCCGTGTAATGCTGTGTAGCCTCTCAATCTGTTCAGTAATGTATATTTTCTGTCCCCTTAAACAACTGTATCTAAAAGATAATGTAACATGAAAATTCAGTTGTACTGTACATTCAGTATTTTCTGATAGAAGCAAATCAAAAACCTGTCTGACATTCAGTCAGAAATTCAAACATTGATTTTGCAAATATACTGTGCATATTGTAAAATATGTACAATAGAACTTGTTACACCGTAACTTATACTTATATAGTTCTAAAATGTATAATTATTCAAGATTCAAAGATTTATGAATAAGCCTTAATTAAAGGGAGAATTTTACCTGGCCATCCATAGTATGGGGCATTTTTAAGGACATGGTTTTGTGAAAGACGAAGGGCAGGATTAACTCTGTCAACACAGAAATGGGAACACTGTTGAATATATACCCAGGTCCAGCATGCTGCAGGATTATCTCCTGTTCTATTACAGTTTAGTTTTAAATCTGTACTTTAAGAGATTTTAAGCCATCCTTAAATGCAAGGAAATCTCTTTAGCAATAAAACTACACTTGATGCAGCTGCTATACTATTGTAACGCTTACGGCCGACAAGCACTGTGTGTAAGAGCCGGTGTACCAGAGCGGGTGACGTCACCGGCCTTCCCTGTGATAGCAGGACCACAGCTACTGGGCTGTGGAGAGATCTCTCTTTAGCTCACGGGGCTAGGTCGCTGCAGAGAGACGCGGAAGTCCCGGGTTCGAGCATCCAGTCGGGATGGGGCCGACCAGATGCGGCAAGGGCGCCCGCCTGAGCCCCCGCTGCGTTACACTATTAATAATATAGTAGATCTCCAAAGACTTTTGTCCATGCACAGTTGTCTAGACTTCTTAGTTTTGCGTTTAAACATATCATTCCATCAAATTAAGCTAAAAACCTGTAGATTTAAAAATGAACTTGATTTCTGTTGTAAGAGCTGAAGTCTTGGTCCACTTGCATGAAATACCATGTCTTAAAGTTCACTATATTTTTCTACTCTTGATCCTTAAGTTCACAGGTGAGCTCATTCCAGTCACTCTTCTCCAGTAGTTTCATAGGAAGGTCTCAGAATTAAACATCTAGAAAGCAGCAATCTATTAATTAATTGTAAGCAGATGATTCAGATCACATTCATTTTTAATAACTAAGATAATTGAATTACATAATTGAGAACTGAGTTGAAATGAAGACAGGAATACCATAGGACCAATGTTAGGGTTTAGTCTTATCAGAGGTTAAGGTTGATTATATTTTGTGCTCCATGCTCTTAAAAACTGACTGTAACAAATGGCCCAATCCTGTGTAGAAACATTAACCTGAAATAAACTGAAACCCCTGACAGAATGGCAAAATCTAAGCCCAATATTTGTCTTGGCATTTTGCTTGGCTGGTTCCTAGCCAGCTGAGACCCACCATCTTGTTCTGCACCGGGAATGTGCAGTTGTTGAGTGAGCTGGAGTTCTCAAACAATCCAGGCCTTTTATTGTCTTTTCCTCCTGCTCTTGAAAGACCTGGAGTGACTACAGGCTGTCTTGGAATCCGGCGGAGCACGACAATATCCAGGTCCTGAGGCTGCCAGCAGGGAAGGTGTGGCTTCCAGACATCGTGCTCATTAACAAGTGAGTTAACGATTCAACCCCCCACCCCCACCCCCCCATCACCCGGGTTTTCTAATTATCCTTTAAGAGCGTCTATCTATCTTAACTTTAAGGTTAAGGTTTTTCAGCCCAAATGGAGCATGTAACTGTAAGTATTCCACAGACAGGAAAAATAAACAAATGGATTTATTTATGCAGACTGAGCTCAAGATTTTACTGCCGTCTGCTGCAGTACTGAAATGAACCACAAATAATTGTGAAAAATGGTTGGAAATTCGCAGAGCTCTTTGGAGGAAAGGTTACACTTCAACCTCACCCATTGGTATCGACCCCATATCTTTCATTTTTTCTACATTGCTGTAAATATCAGTAAAACAGAAAATGTTTTTAAATGTTATTAAACTAAGAAGGAGAATAATTTGTAATGAATGTATCTGTGTTTTGTCAGAAAAGGTTGTATAACCTGAAATAATAAGTAAAACTGTACACCTTCGTTTTCACCTCGTCATAAACACAAATCAATAATTCAATTTTATCCCCAGTGGGACACACCCGGGGGCAAAGTGCTGTAACAGGGTGCTCTAAAATAGGTGGAACTCAGAAAAAGAGATACACAAACATGGCTGCAAAGGTAAAATACCGCACCATATTTACAGTGAGGTATAATTATCAAAACACACAACAGAAGCCTAAACAGCTTTTTGAACTGAATTCTTACTATGCTTCCTTCACTTGGTCAGGTGACTGAGGGTGGCAGGTCATAACCCACAGCTTTCTGGAAAATGTAGTTCAGACAAGAGCTGCCATCTAGTCTGAGCTCCCATTCATACCACACAAGCCAATATAACAATGGGTTCCCTTCTCAGCTTGGCTTTACTGCTAGAACTGTTGTAGCACATGAGAATCTGTACATTCGGTCCTCCAACATGTCCTTCATGCCTTCTTCCATGCTGCGAGTTCCACAGTGCCTTTCAGGAAAGCAGCACCAACTGGAGGGATGGAGAATCTCTCCCTGTGAGTTTCTTGTTGAAAGGCAGGTCCCAGGAATTGTTGTGGTCCTCAAAACAGAAAGAACTCTTGTGTTTATCTAAGGATTTTCATGATCTGGAATGCCTGGTTTCCTCTGGTATACTGTATGTTCCAGCTAGGTTATGTATTTCTGAATTATTTCTATAACTGTTTCTGGTGAATTCTACAAGTTGTGTGAAAGTCACAATTTTAAAAGAATCCTTGGTTCTTCTGAGAAAATTAATGTCCACCTGTCTTGAAACATGGCTTTGGAAAACTTGGTATGTGGTTATTAAGATATCTGCTTTCCATAAAATCTCCAGATATACCAGCATATTCCTAAATTGCTTATATGGTCTTATAATTTACTGTTAAAACCCTTGAACTGCCTTGTCTAACAGAGACAATAATGAGGAGAGCAAATACAAGATTTCTAAATCTTGAACACTATTGATAAAAGCTAGCCAAGGGGACTTCAAGCACAGTGATCCCCAAACCACTGGGCATTAGTCCATGGAAGTGGATGTAACACTGAGAACAGGAAGCACTTCTTTATACATAGGACTGTGGGAGTGTAGAACAAGCTACCCAGCAATGTTGTTGAAGCCGATACTTCTTTCAAGAAATGGCTGGATGAGATCCTGGGATCAAATAACTAACCAAATGGGACAGATAGGCTGAAAGGTGTCCTCTTATTTAATTAATATCTCCCACCTGTTGAACCTGTCTCCACCACGGCACCTGCGTCATTCACTTACAGGTAAAACAACCCACTGTGGAAGAGTTTTTTTTAGTTTTGTTTGCTAATGGGAAAAGAGAGAAATCTTTCAAACCCACTGAGGATAGGTTTGGCTCTGTGAGCTGTTCAGTACGTTCTGTTTTTGTAATGTCGGTGTCATTACCGTTCAAGGCCCCAGTCATAATGCTATTTACACAATTGACTTTCAGTAAGGTGAAATAGATTCAGCACAACTGAGGAAATTGATCTGCAGGAATCTGGAAAATTTCCCAGTAGTATGGATCATTTCTAATTAAATTGGTCACTATCAAATGAAGTTACAGATTGTCTATTATGCAACGGCATGTGGGATAAATAAGTTTGTGTATCTGAGATAGAAACATGCATTAATTACATTTTTTAAGCTTTTATTGTCAGGGGAAGTTTCTGTGAATTATTCAACTGCAGAAAAACATTGTTTCAGCTAGCTCTCATTTTTAATTGGACTATCTTCTTTGTTTTCAATTTGGTGGTTGTCAAGTGCTCAAAATGAAGAGGAAGTTTTTTCCTTGTACCTGGAACCCCCTTGTTTTGTAAATATATGTTCCTCTTGTTGAGAGAATGATGAAGATATCCTTTTAAAAACCCTATTCAGGTCTCCAGAACAATGACCAATGATTACTTTCTAGAACAGTGCTTCTAAGGTATTTTTGAATCAGAAACCAGCTTCTTAAGGATCTGGTCATTCATTGTAAGGTAGTAATGATGATCATTTCCATTTATCTACACAATTCCTTCTAGAACTTCTTTAGAAAAAGTACTGAAATAACTTGGATAAGAGTCTATTCCTATCCCCTTGTTATAATAGCAATCCTAAATTAGTTCAGGTGTAACCAATCGCCTTTAAAAATAGCACACCAACTTAATTGGTCTCCACCTGTGGTCAATTGTAGTGATTTGCATGAATTCATGAAAAGGTCAGCAGTTCCTCTGGGTTGTGAGGTGCAGTTAAAGCAAATGAATCAACAAATGAGCATCAAGGAGCTTTCAAAAGAACCCTTGGACAAAATTGCAGAAAGGCACAGGTCAGGTAATGGGTATGAAAAATACTTAAATGCCTTGAATATGAATTGAAGTATGTTCAAGATAATAATTTAGGAGAGGAAGGTGTATTGCACCTCCCAAGATATTGCCTAAATCGATGCTGAATAACCAAACAAGAAGGACACTCACCAGAGAGGCTACCAAGAGGCCAATGGCAACTTTGAAAGAGTTACAGGCTTATATGACCAAGATTTGTCAAGCTGTGCATGTGACTATCCCAAGCACTCCACAGATTTGGCCTGTATTCAGGCTAGGCAAAAAGAGAAAGGAAAAGGAAAAGTCAATTTAAAAACACAAAAAACTTTTAATGAAACAGTTCATGGTAAATAAAGTATGGGAACAACATATTGCAGAGTGTGTGATGGACTGAGATGAGGTCACATCACTTGGACTGCAGCCATGTGTCCAACCACACCAAGCTTGACGTTATCCCAGAATCCCCCCATCACTCTGCAGATCAAACACGTGCTAATTAAAACAACGCGGCTAATGATTTTAAAACTGATCCATTTAAAGACCAAGCTTTTTCGCAAGTCATATATTCAGGAAAACGTTCTTTTCCAGTTGATCTCTGTCATGACCGCCCCTGTTGATATTCTTCTCATTTCTGCAGCAATGACGGTGTCTTTGACGTGTCTCTGAGAGTACACGTTCAGGCGTACAGTGATGGCAGAGTGACCTGGAGCCCCCCTGCTCTGTATAAAAGCTCCTGTGGAATCAAGGTGAGCACTGATGTCTTACTCACGAATCCTTGCTTTGTAATGAAACGTTTTTCCATCCATTCTTGTTCTAACCACTTCCTCCAATCCAGGGCCGTGGGGGAGCCAGAGTCTTTCCCTGCAAGCAATGAGTGCAAGACAGGACACACCCCGGACAGAATGCTTATCCATTACAGGGCACACACACGCACACCGGGGCCAGTTTTCTCAGAAGTCAGTTAACCCACTAGCATGTCATTGGATTGAGAGAGGAAACCTGAGCTCCTGGAGGAAACCCCATAACCCTAGACACAGATAGCACCCCACTTTGAAATTTCAACCCAGGATTCCAGTACTATGAGGCAGCGATATTAATCACTGAGCCATCCTTAAATGTTATTAATCATTGGTAATATTAATTTTTAAGGTTTCAAGTGTTATTGTCTATTGAATGTCCACTTAATTTTGACTTATGAGCTCTTTTAATACTCTGCTCACCTGTCAAGGCCGTATATCACCTGACAATACTGTCAGATGGCCAATTAATAAAAGTCTGTCCAATGGGTGGATACAATCTGTAGTCTGTTTTCCTGCCATGGTCCAACAAATCCTTTCCATTCCAAAACAAGACAACCAAAGCAAAACCTAACTCCATTGTAGAGTCCTCACTTAACTTTAGAAAACTTTCTCCTAACTATAAATAGGGCAAAACTAATTCCAAACCTCACCCCCCCCCCCTCCAATTATAATAACTGTTTAAATAGAACTTTTTAAGTCCCCTATCTTTGTGTCTTTCTTTCCAGATCTTTTGTTTATTATGTGGCTGTCAATCTATATCAATCTCCATAGTACCCTTGTTTCACCCATCAGTATTGCCCTGACAGCTGAAAGAACCCTGGTCAATAAAAACCCACACAAACCCACATCATTCATCCAATTACCATGCCTTGCAAATGTATCCAAACGCTTGTATAGTTTTAACACATTGTGAAACGCAACAGCCTTACAGCATGCAGTCTTGACATGGTGTTGTACAGTACAGCTTTCAAAACAACTTGGGGATAATGCTGTATAAAGCACTGATGTTTAATTAAATTAATAAGTGGAAGGCTCCCAGACACTGCATAGACCTACTGTCCCTCCAAAGCAGACAGACAAGGACGGAGGCTGATTAGAGACACCGCCTACAGTGAAGTTACGGAGTTCAGTGGCCAAGAAAGGAGGAAATGTCCTATGAGTCAACAATATCCTTGTTAACCCACAAAGGGCTTTGCAAAACTAATAACAAAAACTCAAGTGGGGTTTGTAACAAAGTCTTTAAGTGATTCTGCAAACATGTGGCAATAGGTTTTCACATCGTCAGACAAGACAGAAGGGGACATTTTTTGTCTTACTGCAAACTGTTACATCTGACACAAACTCTGGTTTAGTCACCTCACTCTTTCTCCTTCACTTTTCCCCCGTTTGATGGTACCAACTACTGTATTGTATCTCCAAACATCAGGACCTCACCGTGTCTCATTATCTGTCTACCATGCAGAGTTTGTGTGTGAATTGAGGAATCCCAATCATCATCAATGAATGACATGGCTCAGACTGAAGCTCTTATCTGCTATATAATTCTGGGCATGTACAGTACTTTTCTGTGCATTTTGTACAACCTAGGAGAATTCACTGCTGAATCACATGTAATAAAAACACATCATGGTACTCTATAGAAAACCAGAACATTACTACTGGAGGAATAAACAATGGGCAAAGACCAGATCATCTGCTCGATTAATACTACATACTCCAAATAACAAAACAGTCCATTCTCTTTTACTCTTGTACTCTACTACCGGTCCACTATTAGAAGATAATGTGTCACAATCTTGCACCCTGTTTGCTTATATGTGTCATATACACCCAGTGCTATATGTGAATCAATAATGACCCTTTCCCACGGCAGGTGACGTTCTTCCCCTTCGACTGGCAGAACTGCACCATGGTGTTTCGCTCCTACACCTACGACGCCTCCGAGATCGACCTGCAGTACGCGCTGGACAAGGAGGGCAAAGAGATTCATGAGATCATCATGGACGAGAGTTTCAGCGGTGGGGGACCACTCCATATGCCTCCAAACCTTTTCAGTCTGAATTGTTTCTTTTTAATCCTTAGGACTTTCATATGAGTAACTTCTGCAGTATTTAGACTCATCCACTAACTACAGCATAGTCAAAAGGCGCACCTGGCTCAGACGATGATAACGTACTCACGAGTGTTTGAGACTTATGAAATGAACTGGTTCAATATTTATTCGAGTTCAGTGCATTAATATGCACTGGTTAGCAGACTTTGACTTAAAGAATCCCAGAACAGTGAAGCACCAGGACAGTAGAAGCAAAACAAAACGCAAGTCAGCTAAAATAGCACATGTTAAATTTGTATAACATAACTGGAAAAGTGGGACTTGTGGACTGAGTGGCTAGTGAAAGGTGCCACTGTGCTCATGTAAGAGATGAGTGGGGGTCTTGTTTACAACCCTAAATCACGTTTCTTCTAAACTCTGTCCTTAAGAAAGGTTTACTGAAGTACCCCTTAAAATGAATATGAATATTTTTAAAAAACATGACATAAAATGTTATACCCATGGGAAAATTAGATGAATACTGTGAACATTTTGAGCAACCATGGCAAAACATACATGGCAGTTTTATGTGTTTTCCCCATAGCCACCTGAAGCCACCCCCTCTCATTCTCCATCCTCATGTCTTCCTTCTTCTCGGTCTCAGAGAACGGAGAGTGGCAGATCCGTTACAAGCCTTCCCGAAAGAACGTGGGGCCTGATCTTTACGAAGACATCACCTTCTACCTCATCATCGAGAGGAAGCCCCTCATCTACGTCCTCAACATAGTCATTCCTTGCATCCTCATCACCATCATCGCCATTTTCAACTTCTACCTCCCTCCTGATGCAGGTACTCTCTCGCACTCCTACCACCTGTCTCTGAAAGAGAGAACAAAAAGCAGGTTCGTACAGCCCTGAGATAAAGAGCCTTCTTTTTCCGGGGAATCATGTGACTCTTGTCCCTGATGTAGGGCATTGTATGGAAAATGAAAGTCTTTTCCCAATGGACAGACACTTTTAGCTTGTTTAGCTTGTTTAGCTTGTCTAGATGATGCTTTAGAGACCAAATGTTAGATTTTGAAGAAAAGATTTATTTCAGGAAGAAGTGAAAGAGGGTTCTGGCACCAGAGCTCTATTTGTATTACTCTGGCTTTGGGAACCTTCATACAGGAATCTACTATATAAACCGGTTGTCACAGGTGAAATTCAGGAAATTCAGGATTGCTTCCTGGCTTCATTGTGCTGTTTCATACAAAAAAAAGGCTGCTCAAAACCGAAAGAAAACTTCCTTATCTTTGTTCCTTTAGCTAAACACTAAAAACAGAAGCCTGTCTAAACTCATTAAAAGGACTTGTAAAGGCTTCCACTCTGTAGAAACCACAAGCAGTCTGTTTATCATTGTCTGCTGACCATAAGCAAAGAAAAACATATCTTTTACATTTGGGATCAGCTTGCTGTTCACACAGACGACAGTACTTTCCAACTGACAAGCACCCATGCTGAAACTTAGACATTTCATCCCATGCTATGAACAAAACCAGGTCTCTCCTGGCAGGAGCAAGGACTGTGCACCTTAAACTATACAGCAAAAAAGCAAATGGAAGACCCAATAAACTAAAACAAAGCAGGGGGCTTACATGTGTGCTGTTTCTGTGTAGCCTCAAGCCCAGCCCCTTATCAGATGTTTCTTTAACATTTTGAGAGGCCAGAGCTGACCAGCTGGTTGTCCCAGCGATTGGAACAAAGCAACAGAAGCCAGAATTATTTGTCAATTCTTCAGTCAGATCCCGACTGCAGGCTGCCTTCCAACATAACTAACTGCATGTGGGACTTGCCAGCACCGCCTCTTGCCTCTTGCACAAAGCAGTGCATAAAATGATGACTAGATCACTACAGAGTACCTGTTTATTGTATATGCAGATATTGCTTTGTTTTAATATGGATTTTATAAGCTCCCACTGTTAGGTAGCCTTTATAATAATAGTTCAGGTGGGTAGCTGCATCAGCATACATAGGCTGCAAAGGAACAAGTAATAGGTTTATTCCATGCTGAAAAAAAGAAGAAAGAGAACACAACGTTTCGGCCCAGGAGCCTTCTTCAGGTGACACTTCTTCAGGTGTTCTCTTTCTTCTTTTTTTCAGCATGGAATAAACCTATTACTTGTTCCTTTATAATAATATATTATTTGAAAGAATCACATTAACAGAAGGGAATTTCTATATCAAGAGCAGTGATTCACTACCAGTGTCTTGAGAGGGCTAGGGGACCTTAGAGTAAGTGCAGGGGATCCCCAAAAATGAAAAGCACTTTATTCTTCCAGTCCAGCAAACAACGCAATGGTTGGTAAAATCAGAACACTTAACTGTACATAGTAGATTGTTCTTAAAATAGATCTATTGACATGCAGCATCGCTTGTAATGCACTATAAATAGGTTCAGGGCTTTTATTTTACGACTTTCTTTTCACTGTACTTCAGCCATCGAGCACCAAGAGGTCAATAAAGCGTGATCTAAAGCCACTAATTAAACAATCATTTCATTGTGGTACCTTAATCATCTCAATTAGTCATTTAATTTGAACAGTTAACAATAAAGGGCACAGTGGCGCAGTGGTTAGCACAGCAGCCTCATAGCCTGAGGTTCAGTTTCTGAACTGCTTTATCCAATTCAGGGTCACTGGGGAGCTGGAGCCAATCTCCCAGCAAACACTGGGTGCAAGGCAGCAGACACAATGAACAGGATGCCAGTCCATCGCTGGACACACATGGACACAAACACACACACACTCACACCAGGGCCAGATTTCCCAGAAGCCAATTACCCTACCAGTATGTCTTTGGATTGTGGGAGGAAACTAGAGTATCTGGAAGAAACCGATGTGAACTCGGGGAGAACATACAAAACTCCACTCGGGTCAGGAACTAACCCAAGGCCCCAGCACTGTAAGGCAGCAATGCCCACCACTGTGCCACCATGTTCTGATGCAGGAGAGAGATACGGAGGCTGAAATGATTATAACAGTGAAAAAAGGAACTGAGAGCACCAGTAGAAATGAATGGGTAAAATTAGGACTGAAAACAGAAGGAACTTATTTACACTCTTTGTCAGGGACTGGAACAAACTGTCCTGCCTTGTTCTTTTATCCTCTGATATCCCTCAAGAAACAGCTGAATGAGATCTTTACAACATTAAGCGATTAGAAACCAAGCAAACAAAATTGAATGATTATCATCTCTGAAGTCAGAATGAGTCATAATGCATCACTTTTGGGACACAGGGGGACTGCAGTGCCTAGATAAGATTTCTAAAAATCTTTCTTGCCATCTCTTTTAGCATCAATGACTTGATGTAAAATACTAAACAATCAGTGTGAATCCAGAAACAAAGTAACCTGTTGTTGAGTGTCCATTTTATGAATATCTAGACACAAAAGGGACAGAAAATGATGGCACATGGTGGTAAAGTACATGAAGGTACACGGTACCCTTTTTGAAAAGCATATTCTTTGGTGTTGCTTTCCGTCTGTCTCCAGGGGAGAAGATGGGTCTGTCCATCAACGTGCTGCTGACTCTTACGGTCTTCTTGCTCCTGCTGGCGGACAAGGTGCCCGAGACCTCTCTGGGGGTGCCCATCATCGTCAACTACCTGATGTTCACCATGATCCTGGTGACCTTCTCAGTCATCCTCAGCGTTGTGGTGCTCAACCTGCACCACCGCTCCCCCAACACCCACGTCATGCCCCTGTGGGTCCGCAAGGTGAGCCAGTATTAGTTTAGAATTAGAGGTGGCAGAAGTTCAGACAGGGGGTGCCCACTTCCCAGGCTGTAAGGTATGGTGTGTTTCCCTCAGTAGACCCCCGTTTGACATCCTCAGATTGATTAGACAATCCGATGTCATTTTCATGTGTGAAAAGGTGTAGAAAGTCCAGGGTTTCCATGGTCTGATGGGATACTGTAAAGACAGCAGTCTCTAGTTTTCCAGCGTATATTAATGACTCAGATCTCAGCATGGCATATTGATTGAAGAATGGATTTGATCCCCTTTATATCCTGGGTCCCTACATTTCCAACACACTTTGATTCCCTCTTGTTTCCACTGTTGACTTCATCAAATGTTCTAGCAGACCCATACTGCAGGTAGAATTCTAAACTATACAAATGCAGACAAAACACAGCAGCTTATAAACTCATTATTACTCTAATCTAATTAACCTGTTGATCCCAGGCTTTAGTGTAAGCTCTAAGCTACAAATGTTTATATACAGTATGTGAAATAACCTGAATGCAAATGGTATTTTTCTTGCAATTGTTTTTACATTGTTCTATGCAAGTTTTCTTTACCCAGTAGAAATGCCTCTAATTGCTAGTAGCTCTAAGTCTCTCGGCAGCTGATTTACATTGAAATGATGATTATACTCACTGATATTACTGGTCCTGCTTTGCGTCGTGGAATATTCAATTGTACGGTGTATGGAATAATTGGGTAATAGACTATCCTATCTGATACAATAATTTAGGAGGCAATGGTTTCAATCACCAGATAAGTTTTGTTTTTAATTTTTAGTGTTCTATTTGAAAAAAAATGAAACGACCCCTCAAAAGAATTAATAACATGTCTTTGCTGAAGAGGTAAAATGTATTTTATTAACCATTTGCCCTTTTGATAGGCAAATTGAGTTCTGGCTTTGCAATGTCAACATGCAACATCTTTAAACAACACATTTTAAAGCTCTCTAATTCTCATCTTCATACATCCAATACCCTCAACTTGGGATTGTGTGGACTCAGGACTAAGTAAAATATCTAGTTAATATCTATTTAAAGTGGAAATGAATGAGCAAATATAACAAAATGAACCTTGAGGAATTGGTTTGCACTTTATTTTACTCAAACAAAATTGCCATTTGGTTTGGAAATATATTGCATTCAGCTTCTAGGAGTTGCAAAGCACCTTGTAAATTGAAATGGAATTTTCTGTATTAAGGACAATAAAATAGCATGTATTTCCTCTATGGTTTAATTTAAAATATAAAATGGTAAACTGACTTCATCATATAGCTTAAAATGAACCTCATCATCAAATTAGTGTCAGACATGAGTGTAATAAAACAGTAAATGCCACTTCTGTATAAAAACCTCTTTTGTGGCATGTAGTAGGCACCGACATGACATGTGGAATTTCATTATGCTGATTAACATTTGTCATTGACGGGCTACTGTGATAAACGAGATAGCTAGTGAGGTCCCAGGACTTGATCATTCCAGCTCTGTGCAGACGAGCTGAGATCACTCAGTACAGGTGGAGTGACCGTAGTGACTAGACATTCCCACTCAGACTGTCTCGCTTGGACTTTTGAATTGATTGGTCTGTTATCTCCCTGTGAAGCTGCCCATGGCACCCTGCGAAGCATTCTGTCTCTTTCAATGGTGAGATAAGAGGATTGCAGCTACCTTTGTCTTCTTCTTTTTTGTGATTAACACAACTAACAACACAGATAAAAGCCTCTGCCAACACAAACAGAGTCAAGTTCAAGCACTGCTCTGGAAGTGAGATACTGTAGCATCAGGAAGTCCAAAAAGGAGATGTCTCTGGTTAAAATGTGTCAGGGTGAATTGGTGGGTAGCTATCTATTTTCCAACCACTTCATCCCATTCGGGGTCGTGGGGGAGCTATCTTGGCAAACAAAGTGCTTGAGATGGGGGACACAATGTAGACAGGATACAAACACAGGGAGAACACACAAACTCCATGCAGGTAAAGATGGAAATATCATCAAATCACACCTCAATGGGAGTAGCACAGGATTGACATGTGATCAAAACTAAACCCTAACTGTATTCCACTGAGCTCTTAGCAGACTCCTTTTCTTTGTCAGATTTTCATCCACCTCCTGCCTCAGTACCTTGGACTGCTGCGCCCCAAAACTGAGACCCCACTGTCACTGGAGTTGTCCCCCAAGAGGGAGGTGCCGGTGTCTGTAAGCCGAGCAGCGGACGAGTACTTCATCCGGAAGCCCACCTCCAACTTCCTTTTCCCCAAGCCCAACCGGTGAGTGCTCAGCCAGGTTTGGACAAGCACAAAGGGCACAACCAAGTATTTGCACTGTGGGAAATCTCACCTGTAGAAAGGAGGAAAAATTAAAACGAAGAGAAAGGGGTGTGTATGTTCTCCCCATGTGGGTGTGGATTTCTTCTGAGTGCTCTGGTTTGCTCCCACAGTCCAGAGTCATGCTAACAGGTTATTTGGCTCCTGGGAAAACTGGCCCTGGTTCGTGTGCATGTGCGTCTGTCTGTGTCTGCGTCTACATTGGTGTCCCAACCAGAGTGTACCCTGCCTTGTGCCTGTTGCATGTCAGAACAGGCTCTGGCTCCCCCACAACCCTGAATTGGAAGAAGCAGTTAGAAAACTGATGGATATAAAAGCCTGCTCAACCAATTCAGATGAATATGAGAGAAATAAGCTCAATGGAGTGTCCCACTCCCATTTTAACACCTTTGATTTAAACATAAAGAGACCTAATCACTGCCTCAAAGGGATCTTCTGAAATATAAAAATAACAACAAGGAAATAATACACATAAAATAACATTTCTACCATCATTATTGACATTACAGTGGCATGGTGGCGCAGTGGTTGGTATTGCTTTTACCTTAAGAAAAACAGAAGATAAGATGTGAGCAGACATGACTGGATGCCAGTCTTATCATATATATATTTTTTTATTGATCATCTTATGTTGGTGAAATAATAATTATCGCAAACAATCTAATTGAACATATAATCTTATCTAGTGTGGTGGCAAGACTTTGGAAGTTAAAAGAAAGCCAATGATATAACAATATTTTCTTCCATCTGATAAGCATGGGTTTTTCCCATTCTGCTGAAGCATCTAAGTAGGATTAACTAGGAAAAATCTCAGATCGATCATTAATTTCAAAATCTAGCACTGAAACAGCAGCCGAAGTGTTCACGAGTCAGAAAGGCCCAGAACTCCAGCTATTTGAGGCAAACTGATGTGAACAATTGGGCTACAGTCATTTCATTTACTGCACAGGTTTCTAATTTAAAATGCAGGAACGTTGTTCATAAATATTTAAAGAACGGCAAAGGAAAACACAGCTTGAGACTGCAGAAGTTACTTTAAATAATGTCCTTTTCCTAACAATTTACAAGGACAATTCAGCAAGGAAAAAATTATAGTGACCATTTACCTAAAGAAGATTTATTATTGAAGTAGATGCGTGTTAAAGAGCTTTTTTTTCAATTATTTTGATTGTTGAAGACTCCTAACTTGTGGATTGAGAAACACTTTCAAATGGGATTGCCTAAGGGGTTTAGAGACTCATTGCAGAATTGCTCTATAGAAACCCCAGCTAGGGTTAGGGTTAGCATTCCCACACTTCTTAGACACTTTTTACACTCAGTGCTGGATTTTGGGTCCCAAGTGGATATTAGGACAAGTGGTAATTTGCTCCTAACTTCAACGTTTTGTTTCGGAGAGTTTTGTTTCCTTATATTGTGTATTGCTCAATTCAATAGTTGTATTCCAAAACTGACTCAGATGAAAAGTTGTAAAAAAAACTGTTCAACTTTGTAAACTGTCTTCATTTTGCCTTTTAGTTAGCAACTAGATGTATAACTGGAGCCACAATTTGAGTATTCTTGTAACCCTAACCCTACACTTGCCTAATCTATATGTGCAGAAAGAAAATTCCATCTCTCCTTCTTTGAGTATTGAATGTTAGGTGGAAATGCAAGAAGTAATGAGCAGAGAATATTTAGATCACCTTCAATGAAATTAGTGTGATGTCTGGCTGATTTAGAACAGCCTCTCTTCAAGCAGAGCAGCATTCACTATCAGAAACAAAACAGATGAGAGGATGCCAGGTGACCCATCATGTTGTTTGCTAAAACCTTGAATGACTAGCAGCAAGCTACCAATTAGGAGTTAAATGACTTCTTCTTTTTTGATACCTCATGTCAAAAGATAAATAAGGGAGGTTCTTATGCCATTAAATAAATTATTCTTGTCTCTATAGGAGTCTCATAAGATGAGGCAGACTTTAATTTGAGAGGATTTCTAATAATCTTTTTAATTCACATCAGGTGTCCGATATCATTTACAACAACATGGAGCCTTCTTAAGAACTTGGAAATCCCAAGATAACGCTTCAAACAGTATTAATGACTGCCAGTGGGGAAAATTATTTCAGATAATTAGAATGATAGTCTGGCAGTGTGTTCTTGTAGGTTAAGGCCTGTGCTGGTTTTTCAAGTCTGCTGATTTGCCCAGTTGACTTTGCCATAGTTAGAACTGTGGCACAGTGGATAGCATTTCTCCTCACAGCACTGGCCCCTGGGTTCAAGCTCTGGACCTGGGGTGCTGTCTGCGTGGAGTTTGCATGTTCTTCCCAGGTTGGTGTGGGTTTCCTCCAGGTGCTCGTTTCCTTCCACAGTCCAAAACATGCTGGTTAATTGGCTTCTGGTTAAGTTGGCCCTGGCATGAGTGTGCGAGCCTGTTTCTGTGAGTTTGCCCTGAGATGGACTGGCGTCCCATCCAGGGTGAACTTTTCCTCACTCCCGTTAATTGTAGGAATAGGCTCCAGCCCCCCCGCGACCCTGAACTTGACTACTGTCAAGTTACCCTGAGAGTGACTATTTTCATTTGTCCTGTAGCTACGTTTGCATTGAGCAAATGTTTTTATGCCTGTGGAACACACAAGCTATTATCAAGCACTGGATTCTCTATTATCAAGCACTGGATTCTAATTTTGTAATTAACAGTGGCAGGGGTAAATTTCATCCCAGCTTGAACTCAAATTACCCAGAAGTGTGAACTCTCACATTCTTTACAGAATAAAAACATGATAAAGTGGTACATGAAGCATTATTGTTTAGAGTCTTTGTTGCTATTAGCTAAGGAAGGTTTTATCCTGTCTTTGCATTTGGATAAATCCTATGGATTCCAAACCAAGTGAAAAGCAGTGACATGCTTCCCCCTGGTGGTAGCAATGAAACCAGAATAAATCCAGGAGGCAGTAGAGCAGAACGCCACTGTCATTAAAGTAAACCTACAGTCTTCTTCTGCTACTACTTACATGTCACCCAGATGTTATCCCCTTCCTGTCTCCATTACCTTCTCTATTTAGGAGTCAGTTCATATGTATTTAAGTTAAATTTTATTTAAACACCCCATTTATTCAAAATGGGTACTATAGTGACTTTGTGTTTGCTGGGTCACAGGTCTTTGTTCCTGGGTTTGTTTCCAGACCGAAGCACCTCTTGTGTGGAGTTTGCATGTTCCCCGCAGGGTGTCCCATCCAGTGTGTAGTCCTGCTTTGAACTCTGTTCTTCCTAGATAGGCTCTTGGCTTTCGCAGCTCTTTCCGGGAATAAGAAACATTCTGAAAATGGATGGATTTATTTAATTGTATTTCCTTTCAGCATGTTTTCTCAGTTTTTTATTGTGTGTAACCTCTGTTCTTCTGCTATTCATGGTAGAGGTTGTTGCAGATGCTGTTTCCATTTGGTGCTATTTTATTGTAATTTGCTATCCTCACCCTGGTGTATAAACGAAAGATTCTCTGTTGGTTTCATTCTTGAGATTATGCTTCTTTGATTAAAAAAACAAATTGTTTTGAAAAGATTTTTAAAAATTCCCAAACTCTCTGCAAGTGCACTTCAGCTTGAATTACCACAGAAAACAACACTGTAAATTGCACTCATCTGTAACACAAAGTTATTCTAAAACACAGGGTTGACCACTTTCCCTCACTGGATATTAAAGCTGTTTATCAAACTACACTCAGTCCCAAATCCCCAATTTACAATCATGTCCCAGTGCTTTCCATGATTAAGCTCTTTATTTCCCACCTGTCTCTTCTCTCAGATTCCAGCCAGAGAGCTTGACTGTGGATTTGCGGAAATTCATCAATGGACCCAGCCACTACCTCACTCTGCCTCCAGACCTGAAGTCAGCCATTGATGCTGTCACCTACATTGCAGAGACTCTCCAGGCTGAGAAAGACTACGAGGCGGTAAGGAATACCATCCCCCAGACTCCCTGGCAGAGCTGGCAAGCTTGGCCTGTCCAAAGGGAATCTCATTGTCTTTTCTCATTGTATCTTCTCCCTAAGTATGTACAACTGCAGTCAATGTTCAGCCAAAATAAATGTGTACATCTTGTAATTCTGGACTTTTATTTTGTTAACCTTCTTTTTTTCATTTGTTGGATTGGCATCTCCTTTTGTTTCTGTAAATGCTTGCTGTGCAACAGTTGCATGACTGATGTGGAAAATGCACATGCTCAAAATTTAGGGGCCATCACCTCATGTTTATAGTTGTGTTTCCTGGGCCTACCTGACTCTAACCCCTACTCTGTTTCTGTTTTTCCCCTTTATCCTTTTTCTGCTGTTCCACCACCTTTAAATCTCCTGGCTTCTCTCTCTCTCCTTATCTCATTCTCTTTCCTGCTTTCCCTGATGTTTATCTCTATGTTTTCTTTCTCATTTACTGCCCTCTGCCACTCATTCACTGTCCTTCTCTTTCTCCCTGTATGTCCTTTCCTGTCTCTGTATGAATCCTCGGCTCTGTTCCCTTCTGCTCCTTTGTGTCTCTGTGTTTCCCTGCTCCTCTGTCTGTATTCTCCTCTCTCTCTGTATTTCTCTATCCCCCTCTACTCTTCTTTCTCTGTGTCTCTGTATTCCTCTCTTCTCCCCTCTGCTCCTCTCTCTCTGTGTCTCTATTCCTCTCTTCCCCTCTGCTCCTCTCTCTCTATGTCTCTGTATTCCTCTGTTCCCTTACACTCCTCTCTCTCTGTCTTTTCTTTGACCTGGCTGTGCTCTAGCTGAAAGAGGACTGGCAGTACGTGGCAATGGTGGTAGACCGCCTCTTCCTCTGGATCTTCGTCATCTTCACCACTGTGGGCACCCTGGCCATCTTCATGGATGCCAGTTTCAATGACACACCTCAGGATCCCTTTATGAATCCCTATCCTTGAGCTCCTGAAACTCCATAAAAGACTCCTGAGAACCAGACATCCCCTAGAGACATAGAGTCTAAATCACCTCTGGACTGCTGTATCATCACACTTTCCTGAAGAGTTCTTTAATCACACAGATGTATACACCTCAGTAATCTTCGACACTGTGCCTGTGTGTAAAACACAGAATTGCCTTGTAGTGGGAAAGATAACCCTCAAGACACAGGAGAAAGGAAACACTTTATTAACCACAGCTATTGTAGAGGTGGCTTAATGGTCTTTCACCCTCAAGTCTTCACCCAACAAATTGCATCCAAACCTGAAAACTTTACAATTCATTGGAGCTACCACAGCACAATAGCTACAAAATACACTGTTCTCCAGCTTGTATGCATTTTTTTACCTGAATTACCGTTAAGGCTGTATTTCCTAAGGTGGGTAAAGGAATGAGGCCTATATTTTATAATGTACTAACTCTCTCTACCAAATGTTTTGACCCCATGGCTGCTCATTTCTCCTACATGTTTCACTTGTACCATGTGGTGCAATAGAGTCCTAAACTTCCTACGCCACCTCTTAAGTCATGTACCTGTAGAAACATTAACAAGTGGTGGGTTTTGTGCTATGAGAAAGCAGCCACGTTCTCTCCTGAAAACGTTTTCTGGCTCTTCCAAATCTCTAAACAGGCCAGCGCCCTCTGCAGCTAAAGACAGGTCTCAATTTACCCTTACATTCTACTCATTCAAAACTAGGCCTGTGTTTCTGAGAAGTGTTATAACGTTCTTAAGGAAAGACATCAGTGCATTTGAGAAAGCTGATTATGGTTGTCGAAAAGTATTCGATTTAACAACCCTAAAAACTTAAATGATTAGGACTGAACAGTACTAAGTGGTGAAACTGGGACACATTGCTAACCATGGTACCATATGGCCACTCTAAATAGTTATATAATGGCTCTTAGGAAATGCTTTAATAAGTCCAGATGGTGGATTTCAATTAATTTCTCCAACTGTGTCTGTGTCTCAGCTCTCGGCGTTTCATGACTCTTCTCTTGACCTCCATTAGCTCTGTTCCAGTGGGTCCAAAATACAGTTTTAATTGGAGCTTATGTATCATGTACTGTGAGTAGAGTACAAACCCTGTCAGGAGAACAGTAATCATAAAATCTTCAATAAGACCAGCTCAAGGCTTCCAGGCTGAAGAGCAGTTTGTATTGTCATCAGTTTTCAAGCTCACAAACACATCTCTGGTCCCAAAACAATGCAGTGATCTGAGAGGGGCTTAAAGTTGTTCGGTCCATCATAGATTGCAATACAGCTGTGAGTGTAAGATCTTTTATTGAAAAGGTATTTTTGAGAACTCTCCTCTGGCATGTCAGAGAATCCATCCAAGGGCTTGAAGTTAGTTGTTATCAAAAGGTGCTCTAGAAATAAATGTTGGTACTACAATATTCACACTTCTGGCTATCAGCACATCTGATGTGTTCTCCAGACTGCTCCTGTGTGGTAGCATTTGAGAGCAATTCTAACAAGGTTTTGGTATAAGATGCTGTCAGGCCTGGGATCCTCTACAAACCTTTTGGTCTAGTGGGATTGTGGTGAAAGATATTGGTATTTGTGAACTTCATATGACCCACCTTCCTTTGCTTGTTTGTCGCTAAATAGTCCAGAGTATATCGTTCAGATGTTTCTTGAAGGATCCCAAAGAGTCGATTGATCTTTTAAGTAATTAACTGTACAAACAGATCATTTTTCATCCCAAAGTGCTCTAAATATAGTATGGGAACATTTCATCCACTTTCCACCTGGGTGACATGCGGTACAGTGGCAGCTTCGAGGTCTCCCATTCTCATACAGACCAGGCAAAGCCATGTTCAGGGCAGTGGCACTGTTCTTGGGGCTTCCTAATTTGCTCTAGACATCATGAGTTTAGTGTTTTCAATTCCAAATGCCCTTTATTTTCACTTGTGTCCATGGAGTTACTGCACAGTTTATTTAAGACAAAATGATATTTACATATCCGTAAATCATCAAAACTCAAGCACCAGGAATGCAACATTTGGAAATGTGGCGATAAAAGTAGAACCTAAGGCAGAAGATTACATTACAGCTACTGCTGGAAAGCCATACCAGGAAATATTTCATATAGGAGTTTCCAGCAAGCCTTAAGCAGTGTTTTCTAATGTACTGTATATAGCCGGCATGCGAAATACCAAGCACAGTAACTATCAGAGTTAATAAGCAGAATGGGTAATGTGTGTTGTAGTTATTTTTAAGCCTATAAATTGGGTTTCTTAGGTTGTATTTTTTTTTTACTTTTAGGCATCACGTGTGAGATCATTGTTTTTGTTTTTATAACTTTTTATGTGCATGGCCCTAATCTGCATGCTGTCCTTATTGACCCTGAAAGGGGGGAAAGGGACACAGTCTTGAAACTGCCCTGAAGCAGAAAGAAATTAATGTGCAACTTGTTATACTTTTGCGCTGTAAAGCAGTGGTGCTTTCATTTGCAACATGTGCAATAATAATAATAAAATGTTTCTCATGCATTTTTTATTTCTTAATTGTTTTCAATGTTTCTTTGACTGTTATTAAGATGTTCAAAATTGGTGTTTATCTTCTGTTAATCTCTAGAACTGCAGCTTTGTGCCCAATTCAGTTAGTAGGAGGACTACTGAATGCCTGATCAGCATTTCCTGTTTCCTGGGCTCAGAGACAAAGCAGTGACATTCAGTTCAATGACATTAGCGAAGGTGCAAGCCTTCATTGGTTTCCTTTATAGGACTTCTTTACAATCCTAATGTTTCATGGTGCGTGACTATTACTGAACCATGTCCTTAAGCTTTATTTATGGGAAACTTCACAGTATTTCCACTTAGGTTTTAATACAGTATAGCAAGTCTGCACAGTATTTATCTTTAGCTTTATTTTACAAGGTGTCAGGCTGTCCATTCCAAAGTGATATAGCTGTGCTTTTTACCATGACATGCCATGCTAAACATTTATAAAAGAGGTTAATTTACTTCTTTATCCTAGAAATCCTCAATCTTGGTCCTAGAGGCCAGTGTCTCTACAGGTTTTCAGTCCAGCTGGGCTCATAAAGACCCGAATCGGCTTTCAGCTGGGCTTATAATGATTTGAGGCAAATCATTATTGGCTTAATTGGACCAGGATAATAGTCTAAATAACTCCAAAACCATTCAATGGGTAGCCAATGGACCTTTAAAAATCCCTTTCCTCAGTCCAATATAAAGAGTGATGTAACAATTTTTATGTTTATACCACCTGTCGTATTCATTTCAATAAAGGTGATTGCAGTTTTCTGACACAGTTAAAATCCTGTGGTCCTGATCACCGGTTCTTATCTGGGACTTTATTTCTATAACAGGACCTCTGACCCAAGGCACTAAGTTATATTATATACAAATGTATTTTAATGTGAACAATATCTCTCTTCACACTTTTCGTAAGGAAGACAGCCATGCAAGTGCTCAAGCTAGTCAATTCCAAAATGTACACATAATAAAAGGTGTACATTATGTGTCATAATTATGTGTTTATGTATGTGTTTAATTATGTGGATTGCAGTATGTGTTTTAATATTCAAAAACGGATGGAATGCGTACCAACTTGGGGTGGAACAGTAGTGCAACTGGGACCCTGAGTTTAATTCCAGACCTGGGGTGCTGTCTGTGTGGAGTTTGTATGTTCCCCTGTGTTTTCATGGGTTTCATTCAGATCCTCCCGTTTCCTCCCACAGTCCAAAAACAACCTGGTGGGTTAATTTGGTTCTGGGTAAATTGGCCCTGGTGTGAGTGCTTGTGTGTCTGTGTGGACTGGCATTCTGTGTATCCTGCCTTGAGCCTGTTGCCTGCTGAGATATACTCCAGCTCCCCTGCAATCCTGAATCGTATAAAGAGGTTAGAAAATGGATGGCTGGAAGTAAATTATGCATGGCGTTAATACTAATAGAAAATATGGAGTGGTTAGTGATTAAGTTCTAAATCCCGGTCACAATGAATTGAAAGCGTTTAAGAGGAGTTCCAGTGGTCTGAGCTGGGTTACAAGGGGGGTCATTGCAGCACAATAGGGTATAATGTTTGGATGATCCTTTGATGCTTATGTGAGCCAGGGAACAGGATTGTGCAGCAAATTGGATACATACACTCACATGCCAGCCCCTTTAATCTGAGCATCTGCTGGGATCAGCAGGCACATAGTGGAGATGCCAGCCCATCAGAGTCACATGCAGGAGGATTGCTGCTGAGAGACTGGGCGGCAGCACTAGTCTGGGGCGATGGGCTTGGTGTCTCCGCTACTCTGTGTGTCCTGTCTCGGCTCCGGAGGAACCGTCCTGTGATCCATAGCTGGCTGATGTTCAGTCGCCTGCCATTGGCCCAAAGCTGCTTTGATATACAAGTGCCAACCGCGCAAATTGATAACAATACAACTTCCACATTATGTAATGCAATGACACTAGAGCAAATCCTTGAATTCCACCTGTTGCAGGAATATATTCAAAATCCACCAGAAAAACTGAATACCTTCAAAACACCAAGGAGAGTCAACTGAAAACCTCCGACCAATGCAAATTAAGTGTGCAAAACAATGACGGGGAAAGTTACAGGCCTCCACATTTCAGAACCACCATTTTGTTTAATTCAAACTAGCTCACTCAGGACTACGACCTTTGAACTTCCATTGAGCCTCTGCACTGGCTTCCCTTATTTCCCTTCTTAAAAGTCCTGTCCACTGCTGCACACTGGAATGATCTCGCTGTTGGCCAGAAAACAGGCAGGTGTTTGAGTTCCCTCTGTGCCGGAGTGTCCAGTCCTGGTCCTGAGAGTCAGTGTATCTAAAGGATTTTAAGGAATCTTTACAGCAGCTGGGAGAAGCTGTTAAACTGGACCAGTGAAGACTGGTTTAATTACATCTGGTTTAGACTGGTTTAGTTCATTCAGAGTCAGGTTTAAATGACAGCCCTCAGACACGCAGGCCCGTCTTGCTCTATGTGGATGAGAAAATGAAACTAAATAAATAGCAGTAAATTCATGTCAGTTCACCAGGAGAAAGGAGGCTGAGAATCTTTTCCTAAATTGAAAGCATAGGGTTTTGGTCAAAAAGTTAAAATCTGTGGTGGAGAAAAATATTCAGAAGGAACCTAGGAACCTGTTTGATCCTGAAAAGTGTACAAAAGAGCATGAAATGTATTCCGCCATCTCTATTGGGCTTCCTTTGCAGAGAAGATGATGCTGAGACTTCATTCAGCTGTTAAAAAGCATGAAAAGCCTTGAGCAAGTAAATCAGGGTACCTCTTCAAGATAATCTGTGAGGTAAGGATCCCGGGCACAAATGTCGGGGCTGAAGAGAGATTGTATTTTACCCAGAGGATTGTGGGAGTCTGAAGCCAGCTCCTTGGGGATGCTTTAAGAAATAAATTCTTACATTATTAAGATCATAGCAATGAACTGCAGCTTTTTTTGAGTGATAGATTCTGATTGCAACCAGGGGTCATAAGTGTATATTTTAGGTGAAAAATTTTAAAGCAAAAAAAAATCTTGATAGTTTATGCTGACACCAAATGAGTGTGAAACTGCAATCAATGTTCAGTAATGGATGTTAGTTCTCGCTCTGATGCAATGTGAAAAGGCTCATGTGCCACAGTGTTTGTAATGGGATTAATCCAGGGTCCAGTTGGTCACCCTACCCCCAGCTGCAGGAATTTCCTTCTGAAGTCCCTGATCTTTCCGAGTGTGACATTTCAGATGAACATCACGCAGTCACCAGTCAATAGCAGCTTCAAAATTAAAAAAAGATTGGATCTGTAAAGACTCAAGGGCTTTCAGACACTTTAATCTTTTGTCACGGTGTTGAGGAATGTGACACGTTTGTTTTTATGTTTTATAGCATTCCCCCATGTGTGCTTGTAATGTAGTAGGAGCAGCCACTGCGCTTGCCTCATTGTGGTCTCTGTGGAAAGTTCAGACAAGAGTCCAGTCCTGACTCACTGTGTAGTTGATCTTTCTTGGATCTAAAAGCGTGTCAAGTCATGAAGACTAACTTCTCAGTCCTAGCTCCTGAGATTCCAGGGTCTTATAGTTCTCTTTTATTTCTGATCCCATCTGCTATTACATTAATACAGAGTAAGTTAATACAAAACTCCAAAATACAATGTTTTGCTGCATAAACTTCTATGCGCGGACAAAGAACAGTATTTCACTTGTGTTTCTTGGTGTGTCTGTCTATTACAGCCCACAGACCCTGCTTGCAAGCTCTGCGCAGGCTGCCCCTTGAAATCTTACCCCTCTACATTCCGGCTGGCAGATTTCCCAGAGGTGACTCTGGTCCTTTCCCATCCACCTGCAAGGCTGCAGCAGGATTCGGGTCGGGGAATTTCGCCATGTGCCACAAACCGCTTTGATCCCGTTCCCCTGTAGAAATGTCATCTTGGACTTGGCTTCCCTCTCCTGATATTTCCCCTGGCTGAAATGCGACGCTACATCCGATGAGCCTGTGATTACTGGATGTCATTTCAGTCGAGGGTCTTTTCAGGGACTTCACATTTAAATTTCTTTCTATTGGCTTTCCTGTCCATAAAGTGCTCAAGCAGCATGACAGCCTAATGATGCTGCCAGCACACAATTAACTTTTAAATGTAGGGTATTCCTTTCATCTGCCTCTGGGCTCTGGTCTCTCCCTTACTCAAGTTCACCACTATGAATTAGCATGATATTTTTAAAGATTTGTCTTCCTGGTTTTAACTTGTTAGTACCTCACTTTTAAAATCCCATTGCCACATTTTTTCACCTTCCATGCCACATGTTTACATATTTCCTTGGCTTTACAGACTTCTTACCATAACTGTACTTTTACTGCACTTCACCCTGCTTTTCCTGTAGTTTCCATCCATTTTCTAAACCAGTTTCCCCAATTGTGGGTCACAGGGGAGCCAAAGCCCATCCTGGCAAGCAATGAGGGCAAGGCAGGGTACACCCTGGACAGGACACCAGGGTATCAAAGGCCAACAGCCATACACACTCCCACCACGGCCACTTTTCCCAGAAGCCAATGAACTGGATCGCCCAGAGGAAACCCACACAAACATAGGAAGGACATACAAACTCCATTCAGACAGCATCCCAGGAATTGAACCCAGGACCCCAGTACTGCAAGGCAGCAATGCTCACCACTGCAAACCACTGGTGCCACCATGCCACCCGTCAGCTGTATCAACCTCCTTTAATTCCTGACGCTGCTTGGCAGAGGAAACCCTGTGTTTCCCCTTCAAGGAATTTGAATTCTGCTGTAGTTAGGAAGTGGGCACATGTTTTCTGGGATGAGGAAGATGACATTCACTGCCACCCCTGCCTTTGGTGCCAGCTCTAGTTATAGCCTCATAATGCTTCCTGAAAAGAACGGCAGAGCTCTGGAATTACAGATGAGTCCGATGGGAGCAGAAGGAGTCATCTGTTGGCTCCAGAGCCGATCTTGGACTTATTGGGAAGGCAGAAGGCCCAGCTCTGGGAAGGACAAGGTGGTCAGGTTGAGTGCGTGTCTGTGTGTGAATGAGGGGTAGAGACAGAGAGCTAAGCTGGGGCGCCTGGGCACAAGAGCTCTGTCTCTCCGAGGTTGAAGCTGAGCTCACCGCTTGGAATTCACCGGCACCCCTTTGGTGAACTCAGCTCTTTGTTCTCGTCCCAAAATAGTTCATTCTCTCCTGGTTCAATCCATCCTGAACAGGTGGAGGGGTGCCTAATGTAAGCAAGGCAATAACAAACCACAGTTCAGCCCTCCTACCCTGCTTGACCTGCCAGTCACAGCCCGGGGGGTCCCCTAGGGTAGCCAATCCACATGGGGCACTCCAGCAAGGCCACACCCACCAACCCTCCCCTTGGGCACAGCTTTGATGTGGTAAAGTGCGACCAGTGCAGTTTGCCATTGAGGGGCACAAATGCACATTGTAATACAGTTCTCATATTATTAATTCATTATCGATTACACTTTTTTCTTTAAGATTTTTAGTTTAAGCTTTTCACCATGTTCTTGGTACAAACAAAGGGCATGCTTTGTCTGCTTTCAAGCTTGTGTCTCGTAATGCTGTCAGGTGAGTTGCAGTTTTATTTGATTTATTTTGATGGAACCCACAGCATACAGTAGTATTTTTATCCTCCATTGTTAACACTGTTGACAAAAATATGGCACCAAGGGCAAACTAATGGAAGGTTGACTTTTTTTTCTTTTTCTGATTAGAGAAAGTGTATTTTTAACAACACATTTAAAATTTGAATTTCTTACAAAAAAATGAAATTTGTTCTCGTCCCAAAATAGTTCATTCTCTCCTGGTTCAATCCATCCTGAACAGGTGGAGGGGTGTCTAATGTAAGCAAGGCAATAACAAGGTTAAATTTCAATGTTATGTATTTACTGACACATTTTGGGCCTCTTTCTGAAATACATTGTCATAGCGAATACATACTAGGACTATTAAGTGTTAACATTTATTAAGCAATTTAATTAATTTAATTTAATTGGTGAATTACGTTATTTCCATATACATCAACACTGTTGTAGGCTTGCATTGTTTCGTTACAAATGTTTTATTATATAAGACACAGCTCAAACTTAACTTCATATTTAAACATTTTTGTATAATGTGTGTGAACACCAAAAAAGATATTTTACAGCAAACTACTGTTTAAAACAGAACCAGTTTATCTTTTAGACATTTCATAGTTGAAAAAGGAAATTATGAAATTAATGTTATAAAAATAACCAAATTCCCAACAAAATTCCTCTTTCAGTCCTTGAAATCTCACTAGAATGCACACTGTATTTTTCTGCTCTTTTCCTTAGAATTTTCTATTACTGAATATAATTTGTCTAGTATTTTTAATAAAAAATGTAATTCTGTTTAATTGAAATACAGTAATTTTAAAGAGTAGTGACATTTAGTGTTTCAGTATTATGGTTTTCATGTGCAGCTCTCTGTCAAATGTTTTTTTCCATAAAACATGCTATTTAAAATAGAGTTTTAACAGATCTAATAATTCCTTTCATTACCATTGACCGGGGGTAAACAGTTCAATTCTTGGGGTGCTATTGCATGGAGTTTGTATGATTTCCCCATGTTCATGTGTATTTTCTCCAAATTCCCCGGTTTCTTCCTATAGTTCAAAGACATACTGTTAGGTTAAGACATACTGTTAGGTTAATTGACTTCTGGAAGATTTGACCCTGGTGTGAGTGTGTGCGTGTATCTATCCCTCCTCTCTGCTATGGACTAACATCCTTTCTAGGGTGTTTCCTGCCCTGTGTCCATTGCTTGGCAGGTTAGGCTTCGGATACCCGCAAGCATGTATTGTATATACAGTATATTTCTATAGACTGAGTTCTGTCTTTTCAAAACTGAGATCACAGGAGCCTTCGGGACATAATTATATCAGATTCTAGGTGGAAAACTGGAATAACCACATACATTGAAATCAGTCACTATACAAGGACATGGTTGTTAGTTAAAAGAACACAGGTATAGGCCAGAGCTGTGTATGAAGACAGTCATGTCAGGAATGGGGTGGCTATAAAAAGTAACCAGGGTGTATAACTGGGAAATGGAGTAGTGGAAGCCAGCGGGAAATCCATTTTCAACTTTAAAACACTGCTATTGTAACTCTGCGACCAAAGCCACAGAATAATCATTTCTACTTGTCGTGGACACTCAAAGCCAGAGGAACAAGAAAGAAGAATTACCATAGAGCCTTACAATTATTGTCTGTGGGTGCACCCATCTTAATCCAACAATACATCCACTAGTAAACGTAAAGAACAACAGAAACTGCTCACAGCAGGAGGAGGTTCCCTGTGCTCCTACCAGGAAGCGGTCACACATGATAGGTAAACTTCCCTGTACAGTATCTGCCTCTGTAGAGTTGGGTTGAAATTCAAGCTACTGGCTGTTAACATCTGAAAATATAACTTCTTCCCAATATTCCCTGTTTTTTACAAGACTAGGGCTAAGCACATCTGCACTAAAGAAAATATTCACCTATATATTTATTCACATTCTGTCTAGTTAGTCCAGTGGTTAGCCTAATGCCTTATCAAAGGGTTCCTTGCTCAAGGTTTCAGCTTTCTCAATGATTAAGCCTACAACAGGCCAAAATTGCTGCTTTTTGAAGACAACACCAAATATATTACATACATAGTTCAGGTGGGTAGCTGCGTCAGCATGCGAAAGCTGCAAAGGAACAAGTAATAGGTTTATTCCATGCTGAAAAAAAGGAGAAAGAGAACACAACGTTTCGGCCATGGAGCCTTCTTCAGGTGTGCACACCTATTACTATTACTTGTTACTTGTTATATTACATACATAATGAGGTATGCTGACCAGTTGGCTTTTGTTAAAAAATGCAGGGACTTTTCAGTGGTTAATGTTGCTGCCTCTCTGCCTGAGTTTAATTCCAGTTTCCTCCCACAGTCCAAAAACATACTAGGAGGTTGATTGAGTTTTGGGAAATTGGCCCTAGTGTGAGTGTGTTTACGTGACTGTGTCTGTGTGCACATTACGATGGTGTCCAGTCCAGGGTGTACCCTGCCTTGCGCTGATTGTTTGCTGGAATAGGCTATAGCACCTCTGCGACCCAGAATGGGATGAAGCTGACAGAAAATGGCTGGATGGCTTTCTTGACTTCTTGAAAATATTTCTGTAATAGGGTTACAGTACATGGTGTTTAGTTATCATAGGCCTGCCCAGACAGCACAGCAAATCAGATGCTGAGTCCTAAACTAGACACTCTCAGGAGTGCCAGCGCTGATGGGTAGAGAATGGAAATTAACAGACGTCACATGTGCAGGGTGGTTGGGTCTGTGTGCCAGCCATTCTCTGACAATTAAAGGAAATGGAATCAAAGAGCACAGCAAGCTTAGCTAAAAAAGGAAAGAGATTTGAAAGACATTACAGTCCTTGGTGAAAAAAACATGTTATCAGACTGGGTAACCAGACCTTTCCAAGGAAAACACTGATGATAGGAGAAATAATAGACACCCAATATTAGAAATGAAGCTTGTGAGAAAAGGGAGTAGAAGTGACAGGTGTTCATATCAGAACGCCTAACACAGGGAAAACTTTGTAACACAAACTCTATAAAGAATCATGGAGCAAAGCAGTTTTTTCCCAGCTATAAAACTATATGGGAAATGGGATGCACTTATTGAACTAGTTTTTAAGATCCAATTTCTAATCTTTTAGCCCTGTAGATCAATGGGGATACCAGAATCCAATTAATCTCCTAGCATTTTTTGGGACTGTGGGGGCACACCACAGTACCTGGAGGAAGCCCATGTGAACATGAGGAGAACATACAAACTCCACACAGACAGCACCCTATTTCTAGAATTGAACTCAGGGCCCTAGTGCTGCAAGGCAGGAATGCTGACCACTGCACCACCATGCCGCCCTGTCAAAACAAATTCACAATTCTGGATTTTGTCAAAGCGGAAAAAGCGGAACTTTTAATCTACAGCAACTTTTCAAGGCTTTTGTGTTCTTTCTTAGCAACAGTCCAGCCTCATACATATTTCTCCTGGCCGCTACAGGCGCTTCACAGACTGAGAGACGTCTGCTTGAGAAGCTGTTTAAAAACTACAACCTGAAGGTCCGCCCAGCCCAAACAGTGCAGGAGAGGGTCCAGGTGCGAGTAGGCATGACCCTGTCCCAACTCATCGGACTGGTGAGGAGACCTTAGCATCCAGGATTTTGGTTTTTGTCTGTTCAGTTCAGTACTCTGTGCTTGTTCGACGTTTTTTAAGGAATAATAATTCCTCACATTTACGAAGCAGGTACCATCCCAACCTATCATGTATGTGTGGCTTTCTGGAAAAGCCCATAAGACTTCCATAACACAGCATCAATTTGAAAATGTTTGTGCCCTCTTTAACATATCTTGATTAATAAATGTTTCAAGTAAAAATGCACCTATTATGCTAATAGAATGGATTTTCTCAATGCTATCAATCCTTTGTCTCCACCAAAAATGTACAATATAAAATAAGAAATATATTTATCGCCCATGTACTAAGAAGCTGAAATTCTTGAAATTCTTGTCACAGTGAAGTCCAATTTTCTCAGCCCCATATGAAAACCTAGATTTATTTTCTTGTGTAGAAGCAACACAAAAACAGGGGGAAAGCCATTTCTCTTGCTGGGAGAAAAAAAAAGGGTTTTCCTCCGAGAATTACAGGTAATGACTGTGAATACTGTCTGGACCACTGAGCAAATTATGAGGTCAATTAAGGAACTGAAAAGCTTCAGCTGAAACAAGTGCCCTGTCACCCCACTGGCTGTTCAGAATGGCAGCTTGACACTAAAGCAATGAAGAGTAGTCCATTGCCAAGAATAGGATTGTTTTCCTGCTCCAAATATTTCTATGTCTCGGAATTAGGCTCCGGCATGCCTTGAAGTTGCCAGTGCTAACTGAATTATAATCTCTGTATTATACTGAAATAAACAGTACTGTCAGCTTTCTTGACAGGGTTTGTCTTTAGAGATTTGTCCAATTTTTCAATTATTTAACTAAGACCTGATCGATATGACTTAATATTAGTATAGTTAAGTTAAAGGATGATGGTTCCAGTATCGGCTATGTTATTTGCCACATGCGACCGGGACTTAAGTGGTGCTGTATGTTTGCCCATCTATGGCAAAGCTTTCATGGGCAGAGAGCTGGCTCACAGCCTCAGCGTGTGCTGTGGAGCTGTGACTCTTTCAGGCAAGGCAGCTGAGGGCTGACAAGGTGAAGAGCTGCAGCAGTCCTCCAGTCAGGCGCTCGGCTCTGCCGATGGCGCTGCAGGCTCACACTAGCATGATAAAGAAGCTGACTGCCTGATAGCAACCTCCTCCTGTGTGGTAACTCTTCCCAGCTGTCCACTCCAGATCAAGGAGAATACACAAGATGAGTTATTCAACATTTTAAAACAAAAAAAACCCGAACACTCATGGCATAAAACAAATTCTATTTCCTTGCTGAAAAGAACTTTTCAAATGGTTGTGTTCAACCGAAATGTACATTCTTTTATTCTTTCCAGGGAAATTCCTGGTTGACACAGACTCAATGGATTCTAATGTTTTGACAGTTCTAGAGTACTTAGTGTATTTCACTCTACTCCCTAGATAATATTAAGGTGGCCTATAATGTGTCCTGTTACCTTTAGGGGTGTTCTCTGTCAAAGTAACTGTCGAACGGACACACACACACACACACACACACACACACACACACACACACACACACACACACACACAGCCTTCTGTGTAGAGTGTGCATGTTCTCTATGATTATAATATGGTCTGATGTGATATATTTGACACAAGAAAAAGAGATTCTGAAGATGAATAATAAAATCTATAGGAAATGAATGAAAGTATCTTTAAAATGTTCTGCTTAAACAACAATATAGATTCATCCTAAGAATCAGCATATTAAAATTTGAAAACAACCCTGTTTCAGATGCTGTGGACCATAACATACTGTATATCAACAGCTATATCTGCATTTGCTTGACTGGGTACATCTCTCTTCTAATCCACAGAATGAAAAGAATGAGGAGATGACAACAAATGTGTTCATGAATATGGTGAGTACAGAACATTACTCAGTCCTGACCACAACACCACAGAGCACCTGTAGAGGAAGCTGGAGTGCTTAATTACAAAAAGACCTCATAAAGCAAGAATTCAAGTACCGAAAACCACACTGCAAGAGGAGTGGCACAATATTTCTCTGGTCAGGGTTTTAATGGGTGCTATTGAATGTTGGACAGTACTGTCAATTCACGGCTTCTTTTAAATTATCCTTGCTGTCACGCTGTTGTATCCTTCTTCAAGAAGCCTTAGCCAGCTTTGTAAATATGTACCAACATTTCTGGGTGTCAGTGTCCACTCCCACAGGGATGGGTGCATTCTCAGTCTTCATAACACTATACAAATCAGGATGGGTCTGTACTACTGATGTAACACCTCAGTATCATAGTTGTACTGGTGATCTTCATCAATCATTGACTTTTCAAATGCTGTCCAGTCATTCAATACATCTCAGAAGATTTCAGATAATTGTAAATAGAGTGAAATGAGCATCAGACCTCAAAATAAATAATGATATTATTGAACAATGAACAAGTCAGGTCTTGTGTGAATTCGTGTACGATGTTGGTTATCTCTCCTTGGAAAAGGCCTAAATGATTCCTGGACTGAAAGGAACACACTAACTTTTTAAACACAGACTACAGCAACTGGGTCTCTTTAGATTATAAAGAGATTTTGTTTGGAGATTTGATTCAGGTTTTCAACCTCCTCGGTGTCACTTAAGTCTCACTTAATGTTTACATTTGTAAATTAAAAGCAGGTGAATTTAGAACTGAAGGTTCTGAGGCGAATTATCAGTCATGCAGGTGACAAACAACCATCTCCTTGTCAGATCTGCAGTAAAAACACACTTTTTAATTGTCTTGTGAAAATGCTGTCAGATTCAGAAACTGCCATTTTTTGTTTTATTGGTATGTAAAAAGTTTGTTTAAAATGTTAAATTCTAGTTACTGTTGTATAAAAAAAATATTTGCAACAGTAGCACAACTCTGCAACAATAATAAGCCAGAATATTTGAATGAATTCAGAATTGACACAGATCTAACAACTATTTGATAATTTAGAAAATAATCATTTTGCTTTTCTTAACAATGTGCAAGAGAATCTGCCATATTTGTTTGAAGGTGAAAGTAGTCACAGAGACTCACTGCCAGGTTCGATTGGTTTCTGTGAAAACTGGCCCTGGTGTGAGTGTGTAAGTGTTTGTATGTCTGTGTGTGTCCTGCAATGGGATGGCATCCCATCCAGGGTGTACCCTGCCTTGCAACTGTTGCTTGCCAGGATAAATTCCAGCTTCCCTGCAACCCTGAATTGGACAAAGCGCTTATATAATGGATGGATGGGTGACACAATGGCTACCTCTGATAATGATCCCTACTCTTTTTAGTTATTACCAAAATTTCACATGCTAGAACCAGGTCAGGAATGAACCCCGGTCAGGTCCCTCAGTTTCCTGTTTCCAGTTTCCAGTTTCCTCCTGTCAGTGCTGTCTCTCTCTCTGCCTGCCCCTCGTCGGCACTGTAGGCCTGGAACGATTACCGGCTGTCCTGGGATCCAGAGGAGCATGACAACATCCTGGTCCTCAGAATCCCTTCGGTCAAAGTGTGGCGTCCTGACATCTACCTCATTAACAAGTAAGTGGAGCCACGTTCCCTGCGTACTTCTCAGCAGCCAGCTCTGGGCTGTGAACAGGCTGTTCCGCTGGGAATTAGAAGACTTTAAAAAAGCATTTCCGTTTTTCTGCAACACGGTCTTCTAGGCAGGTTTCTTTAAAAAAAAAACAGAAGCAGAGGAACGTTTTTAACTGAAGTTTTAGGAGGGCGGCAACAACCAAGCCTTTTCCCCCGAGGTGTTCTAAACTGTAATCATCCCCATTGCTATTTCTCAAAGCTATAGGGACAAAGCTACAGGTAAAGGTAAGATGTTACCTCCTGCATCCCTCTTCCACCCCATCAATGACTGTGCAGCCCCCTCTCCACACTCCACACTGCACAGGAGAGTCCCAGCCTCCTCATCCTACAGCCAGGGACTGACCCTCAGCCAGGCAGGTTAAGCCAAATCTCACTGCACCTAAATACTTAATAAACTTATCTAACTGTTGGGTGTCCTTATTCCTGGCATGTGAGTAATTGCAAGAAGAAATGTGTTTACTTCTATTAGAGATCTGCATTCCCCTGTTATTGTTCTCAACAAAACTGTTGCTGGGTTTTGTAGCGACAGTTCTGAGAGAGGTCTTATTACATGCAGGTGCTACAACAGGTGCCTTAGATTATGAAAAAAGACTAATATCCATAATGCTGTTTGAGGGGGAAGCTGTTTCAGCATGCTTTGGCTGCAAAGGAGCATGTAAAAGTTACTCTCACACTGCTAAGTAGGAAAGTGAAACACTTAAACACTAGAATGTTTCTTTCTTTCTACTTTTCAACTTGGAAAATTACCGGTACTTGTTCCTGACGTTCAGAATGTTTTGTTCTGTTACTGAAGCATTGCTCATAAATTCAGACAATGTTGCAGAATAACAGGTGCTCTAGTTCTGCAGAACCTGTTCAAACACTGACAGAATGTGGTTAAAAAAAGGTGAGAAGCTCTAACAAACAGGCAGAAGAGAAAAGAGTGACAAATTTAGTGCTACATACTCTTCAGCTCCTCAGGTCTCCTGTTTGTAATCTTCTGGGGTAACCTGGAGACTCTGGTGGAACTTGGTGTCAGTTGTGCTCACAGGATCCAACAGTCCCCACTGCTCAGAAGACAGTCAGTCCCCACCCCTCCCATTTAGCATTTTTAACAGATCCTGTCCCATTTGCCACCTGAAACCTAACGAAGTCAAAAAGTTATTTTAATGATTAATTTTTTTAGTTTCCTCAAAAGTCAATATACCAAAATAAAAGGGTGACATCCGAGGGGGACAGGTATTAAAATATTTGTGCACAGTTGTGCAGTGGTTAGTATTGTGCCTCACAGCACTGGGGCCCTGGGTTCAATTACTGGGGTGCTATCTGCATGGAGTTTGTATGTTCTCCCCATGTTCACGTGGGTTTCCTCCTCGTTCCACGGCTTCCTCCCACAGTCCAAAGCCTTGCTGAGAAGTTAATAGGTTTCTGGGAAAAGCGGCGTGAGTCTGTCAGTGTTTGTGTCTTATTGGTGTCCCATTATGGGTGTACCCCGGCTTGTGCCCATTGCCTGCTGGGATACACTCCGGCACCCCCTAGGCCTCGAATGAGATGAAGCGAATAGAAAATGGATCGATGAAAACAAAAATCATTGTGTCATACTCTGCGTGTCTGACCTGCTACATACTGTATGTGACTTGTGTTTTGCAGTAATGATGGTCAGTTTGATGTGGCTCTGAATGTCAATGTGCTGGTTTACAGCAATGGCACAGTGAACTGGCTCCCCCCTGCCATCTACCGCAGTTCCTGCTCAATCAAGGTGAGATGGCCTTTGAATTTCCTTTCGCTTTTATGGTGGTTTGGAACTGACAGCTGTTTGGAATTAACAGGAATACGGGACTGACAGTGTTGCATTTGGGGATCGACAGTAATATGTTGACAGTGGCTGGGGATTGACAGCATGGTGGTTTGTGATTGACAGTGATTAGGGATTGACAATGGTTGGGAATTAATAGCAATACGGGATTGACAGAGGTTTGTGATTAACTGTAATATGGGATTGATGTGTCTGAGGATTGAAATTCAACAGATGTGTTTGAATTTCTTTGATGTTTATGTGTATGAACACTATGATCGCTTTTTAGAGTGAGACAAATGTTTGGATTTCACAGAAGCTAAGAATTGACCACCATTCGGGACTGCAAACAGTTGTTATTAAATATAGGATTTTATTGTGGTCTCAAACAGCACAGATGAGCTAACAAAGATATAAAGCCAGGAAAGATAATCTCAGTTTACCAGATTCCCTAGGCAAGCACCAGCGTGTTCAGGCAATGACTGCACACATTTGTTTCTAGCTGAGTGACAGCTGTGGTGATGGTGGCTGACTGGTTTGCATCTTCAGCTTCCTGGAATCACACCTACATACAGTTCCAGACCTTAGAGAAAATGGCCATAATGAGCTCAGAACTACATCCTAGTTATTCCTCAGCACACAGACTAGTTACAGTTTAACATGTCTAAAAGAAAGTCTTAGAATTGCTGTTCCCATGTTCATAATTCACCCAACTCTACACTGCTGTGTTTTAATAAGGTGAAAGGACAATCTCAGTACTGTAAAGAATCCTTTCTCAAACAATGCATAGTGATTTTTTGTTTTACAAATCATGATTCATTTTAATTGGTTCAGCAAAAATAATCACTTTATAATGACCTCCAGTGATATGTTTGTCACTTAAGATGGTTAAAGGTTTAAAGGGGAACTGAAAAGTTTATATTTTGGGGTTAGAAAGAATCAGCATTGATGTGTGCATTTCAATTTACAATATAAATAAAATGTACTTAGTAATTTGTAAAACCTTTCCATGACAAAATAGACAAAATTCCCAAGTATGCACAATGTCATATTCTGTGATTCAGAACAAGGCAACAAAGCTTTTGGTGAGGTGAAGCAGTCTTATTGCATTATAAAGAAGCAGGCCTGTGAATACATCTCTTTTAGTCCAATAGAAATAATTATTTTGAATTTGAGACGGTTTTGCCTGCAGATTATATTGGAACATTTCTGCTGTCCGACCTGTACTTATTTCCTCGTACATCCCCTTACATTAGTCTTTAAAGTGACTAGCGAGCAGGAAAGGCTGCATCCCGTCACAATTCGTTGGAACACCCACTCTCACCCGTATCGAGACCAGGAGTTTGTAACAACATGGCGACTCACAATACTTTCAGAAAGTTCGCAAGTTTGTGCTTAATTTGAATTTTGTAAAAATTTTCCACACCGTCAATGAATTTATTTTGTTACCAAGATTAAGTAACTGGTCTGAGAAATGGGGACTGCAGTTAATTAACCAACTCTCTCAGCATGGTAGAGCAGGTCGTGTTTCTTCCTGAGGTAATCTGTATTCTTATTATTCCTCAGCTCAATTTGATTTAAGAAGTAAAATCCTTGTAAATCTCCTTGGTTTTATGTTGATGATAGAGGAGAAACTACACAACTCTAAGAAAGTCTTGTAACAAGAGGTTACCAAAAGGACTTTGGGACACCAGTGCAAGGAGAACCAAACTTTTATATCCTTAATTACATGGGGGCTTGGCCCAGACAGAAAGAGAAGTCAAGTGCAAGTCTGAATGACTCAGAGTCCAGAGGAATTCTGACAAGGCCTGCTATTCGACACTCACTGTTCAAGGTCCCGCCCCCAGGGGCACAATGCTCAGGTTACCAGGGGAACGAGCAGTTCCAACCACCTCTGGAACCATCAGGGCCTTCCAGGTCCAGAGGTCGGCCATTCATGTCCCACGGTGTCTCTCTGCTGAAAGTCAAGTTGGGAAACAGTGTCCCCCTACAGTGTCTAGATTTAAATTTCATCCATCCGTCCATTGTCTAACAGCTTCTCCCAATTCAGGGTCACAAGGCACAAAACATATACCCTGGACAGAGTGCCGATCCATCACAGGGCACGAACAGGCACAGACACACACACTCATACCAGAGCCAGCTTTCCCAGAATCTAGTCAACCTACCAGTATGTCTTTGGGAGGAAACCGGAGCAAACACATGCATACTCCATCTCAGGAATTCAACCCAGGACCCCTGAAATGCTAACCATGGCACAACCATGCTGCCCTAGAATGTAATTAATATACCAAACTGGAAAATGATTTATAAGATAAATGTTTTGGAAAACAATTTTTCCTATCATAATTTCTCATGGAATCCCAATGTTTTTGCTGGTCTTTGAAGGTCTGGCCACACAACCTTTAAATGTGTTTTCCTCACCCTTCTGTATCCCCTGTTCTGCAGGTAACCTACTTTCCCTTTGACTGGCAGAACTGCACCATGGTCTTCCGTTCCTACACCTACGATGCCTCAGAGGTCGACCTACAGTACGCACTGAACGAAAGCGGGCAGGAAATCAAGGAGATCATCATCGACGAAAACGCATTCACAGGTGGGGGGACAAAGAATCTTTTACCACACTTGTGGTAAAGTTCAGGCCGCTACCTCAAGCTACAGGCATTCTAAAAGTGCTTTACATTAATTATACGTATGAAAAAGATAGTACACAAAAAGTCACAATAAAAATATGTACAGATATGAAATTAGAAATAGATTATGAATTGGAGGCCATCAGAAACAAGTACTTTCTGAGGCGAGATTTAAAAACACCAGCATGCTCAAAGGTTTTGGAATGCTCAGAAGCCCAGACCCAGCCAAACTTGGACATGTGGGGATAGTAGCTCTCGAAGGTAACAGGAGATAGATTGTGTACTCCCTCTCAGGTCAACAAGAGGATATTAAAAACAATCCTGTAAGGGACTGGTAGCCAGAGCAAGTAGCTACAAGAAGAAACAAGAAGAAAGGATGTCTCATGTTCAGATGATGCTCTCCTGTGAACAGGATGCCAGTGCATCATGAGGCCAGAAGTAAAGATCTTGTTCCCTGAGATGAAAAGGCCTTTCAGGCACAAAGAAGCTTGATTTTTTATTCTGAACTTGAAGTCAGTTTCTTAACTGGGTTAAGGTGAACATTCTGTCTTGTGAATATCCATTACACGCAAATTCCTTAAAAGTTCAGTTTTAGAGGTTTTCATCTGAAAAGTGAAACACAGAGAAAAGACATTGAAGAGAATGGCTTTGGAAGAGTGGATTACATGTGTTTAATCAGGCTTAAATGAGTAAACAATACAGAAATGAACTTATCTTGGGAAAAAAAGGTAATTCGTAATAATTATAGATTCTAATGTATCTATAATACTTATAATTAATACTTGTAATAATTTTCCTGTGTACCGTAGGTGTCTGTCTAATAGGTCATCAGGGGAGGTTAAATTAGCCTATACTTGTTTTCACTGCATTTGTCTTTGCAGAGAACGGAGAGTGGCAGATTTGTCACAAACCATCTCGGAAAAACACGGGAGAGGGCCTCTACGAAGACATCACCTTCTACCTAATCATTGAGAGGAAGCCCCTCTTTTACATCATCAACATCATCGTGCCTTGTATCCTCACCAGTATTCTTGCTATATTCGTCTTCTACCTTCCGCCAGATGCAGGTAAATGCCCACAAAAGGTCTCCTCATCCAGTGCTTGGCAGCAAACAGCATCTTCAGGTCTCTTTCCTCCTGAAATCTTAGTACCTGCTGATTGCAATTAAGACACCTTTGAAAGTTGTTGAATTCTGGTCTTTCACCGCCGGTGTCGTGCTCCTGTTTTCTATGAAAAGGTCCGGTGTTGATGATGATGTGGGTCTCTCGGGTGCTCTCAAGTGGCCAGTCCAGACATACAGTGCACAAACCCCCTGCGCCAAAGGACCCAGCCCCTCTCCACAGGAGGCTTGAGAGTCCTGGAGAATGAGATCACTGCACTGCGTCACTTAGCTAGTAGTTAAGAAAAAGGATTTGTCTCAGAGAGGTTCTTGGTTCAAGGTCTGGCCATGCCTTGACACCACAGCTCACAAATCTCTGGAACTTGCTTTGAACAGACAAATGTTGCATGGATGTTCATTAAAGGTTAGTATTGGCATTATATAGAAACCGAAATGGTTGAAAAGTTTTACTTTCGATGGCTGTCTGCTGCCCCAGGAGAGAAGATGACGCTGTCGATTTCTGTCCTGCTGGCACTCACTGTGTTCCTGCTCCTGCTGGCTGACAAGGTTCCCGAAACCTCCCTGGGCATCCCCATCATCGTCAACTACCTGATGTTCACCATGATCCTGGTGACCTTCTCAGTCATCCTCAGCGTTGTGGTGCTCAACCTGCACCACCGCTCCTCCAGCACTCACGACATGCCCCTGTGGGTCCGCAAGGTGAGCCATCGTGCACAGAGCCCATACACCAGGGAATGCCACGAGCTTGGCAGGAAATGATTTGGTGACTGGCTCACCGACAGGTCTGCACTGAATTAGAAGTCATCTTGACTTTCTTCACATCGTCCTAGTCCTAGTCGAGGGAAGGGCATGCTTATTTTTGGTCTTCCCTCCATCACTTATCTTAATGACTTGATTGAAGCAGTTAATCCATCCATTTTCTAATTGCTCCCAATACAAGGTTTTGGGGGGAGCTGGAGCCTATCCTGGTAAACAATGGGACAAAGGAGGGACACACACTGGATGAGACACATAGCAGACACACACACACATACACACCAGAGCCAGTATTCCCACATACTACCACCATGTCCTTGAACTCTGGGAGGAAACCAGAACAACCAGAGGAAACCCAGGCATACAATATGCATGCAGAGCGCAGGTCCTTATTTGAATCCAAGCCCCCAGCACTGCGATATGAAATCAAACTACCTGTCTTTAATCAGCTGTAAATTGAAAGTTGCTGCTAAAACCTACAGGAACCTGTCTCTCAGGGACAAGGGTGCCCTTTGACTGCCCCATCTTATCGACCTAAATACATCCCTATGCTGACAGGTCAGCAAAAGCTACAGATTTCAAGAGTCAGTGATCTTTGCTCCTGATCTTGGAGATACTGCTCCACACACATTCATCACAATGTCCCAAAAATGAGTCCAAATATGACCAAGATTAATAATTAAGATCAGTTATGACCAATCCTGTCACTTTAGGTGTGATGTATTGAATTTGTGAAAAAGCTAAGGGTGGTAATGTAAGTAGAAAAGGACCAAGTCCCTCTAAAGACTGTTAAAAAAAACTGCAAGCAATTGCCTTCTGTTAATCACAGTAACTCAGTTTACTGTGATAGTCTTTATATCAGTATGGTTGGGTAAGGATCATAACACTTCTTAAGCCTCCTACATTTTTTTGCCAAGCACAAAATCTTCACAGCACAGAAGCGTTGAATGGAGAGATAATGTTTAACAACCCTGCATGTTCCCTGACATCTGGCAAGCCAAATGAGGGTTTGCATTTTCCTAATGCCTGCCTCATGAGAGAAAGGATTGCAGTGTTCTGTACTGCCAAGCAGACATGGATTGCTCAATAATGGCGACATTCAATTCCCTGACCTTGGATGTGTTGCAGGTGTTCATCCACATTCTTCCTCGGTATCTGGGAATTCAGCGACCCAGGCCAGAGGAGCCACTAGAGGAGACCACCAAGAATGACGCCCCATCTCATTCCATGGATGGTCGCCCAACTGATCAGTACTTTATCCGAAAGATCAACCCAGAGCTCATCATTCCTTGGAACAGCAGGTGATCAGTGCTCCATGGCCTCTTTAATCCAATTCACCTGTTTTCGTGCCTCCTTTTTTTGTTTTCTGATCACTAACACAGCCCTGATACATCCACTGGAGCACTAGTGTTTTTAAGAATTATTTAATTATTTTAAGCTTTTGAATGTAATGGCGTTCTTCATCTGAATCATTGTAATTCTGGCTTTATTCTAGTAACATTCTGTATCTGTTCACAGTGAAAAGCAGACATAGAGTATAAAGGTAGTGTATTTATGAGTAAGAACCCTGTATGTTGCATGATTCTGTGACATTTTACTGATCAGTTCAACCTTGTGTCAAACAGATACAAACACGCACATACTCTCAACTGGGACAATTTTCCCAGAGCCATATCAGTCTCAGCAACCACTTTCATCCTATGGTTTGTGTTTCACTGTTAAACTGAAAATGAAGATTCTGAAGAGGTCCATTGGGAAGACTTTGTCAATGCCTTTGCTCTGCTAAGTTATCTAGGCCAAAGACATCAAGCGGATAGTGCTGATAGTCTGAAATGCTCTCTTTCTAAGCTCGATAGCGGCACATTTCTCAGAAATGACCTGAAACCATGCTTTGCTATGAGCAGAAGTACACAAAGACAGAAGCTTTATTCACATTAAATAGTGGATGTGTAATAACATCTAATCTTTTGGGGAAATCTTTTCTCATTTAATGCCTAAGTTATAAGAGTTTGTCTCTAGTTTCTTGTAGTTTCTGGTTGCTTAGCCTTCCTTTGAAAATGTCTGACAACATGATAGTATCAGTTTAAAGAAGTCATGCGAATTCTGTTTCTTTTTGAGCCCAAAGTAAACTAAGCATAGGCCGATAATGTTTTAGTGCATTAACTAAATGCACTGCATAACCTTCTCTGAGTGAAACTTGCTATATGCACCAGGTGCTCTGTACCAAAGAGAACTCCAGTTCACAGTAACCTTTTAATGTTTAATGTTTTAATGTTTCTTTATTAGCCCTATACAATTTCTTGCTTTAGGAATTCATCTTTTCGCATACCCCAGCTTTTCTCCATGGAGACACAGACACACAGACAGGGAGAGAAGCTTGGGGTCAGAGCACAGGGTCTGCCATTGTATGGCGCCCCTGGAGCAGTTAGGGTTAAGGGCCTTGCTCAGGGGCCCAACTAAGTAGGAATCCTCTGCTGCCACCTTCCAGTCACAGGTGCAGATCCTTAGCCAAAGAGCCACCACTCCACCCAAGAACCTGAGCTCTCTGGACCAGTCTTACTGTAGCAACCCCCTCATTTCTCCCACACCATGGGCAACAGCAGTGGCCTCATTTAGGAGGAAGTGCAGTGAGTTCCTAGCCTGCCTGTATTTATTTCTGTTCCCTCTTGGAAACGGCAGACAGCTGCCATGCAGTCAGTGTGTCCTCAGTGTAGAATTCCAGTCATTATGCATACCGGTAGTTCTGTTCATTGTAGCAGTGCGAGATAGAGGGGCACATGCCAACACACTGAAGGGCAAAGGATCACTACTAACAAGGTTTGTGACAATGGACTTAACACAAGAGTTATCATCTGCAATCCCCCATCCCTGAATCAGAGCCAGCCCTGGCCATCCCTTCCTGAATTGGTCTAGTGCCAAACAAAACATTGTCCAGCCCAGGACAATGAAAGCTGCTAAGAATGGAACAGGCCTTTATTGGATTGACAGACACCTTTGCAATAACAATACTCCTGGTATAGGTTTATTGCACATCACCATTTTACAAAAGAACATGGGTGCAAACAAGGTGAATTCCTGGCCCTGAAGGAATTTCACACACAGAGTGGTTAAAGGAATCGAGTTGCTTTAGTCCTGACTTGACAGGGCTTGACTGCAGTACTGATAATCCCAAAAGGTATTGGGAAAGTCTTCCAACAGGACTACTTCCAGATCAGCTTTGAGACAAGAACCCAAATCCCAAGAGTGAGTAAAGAGTCAAAGCTTGAAAACAGGCACCTCTCTTGTAGAGATCTTCCAGTCAAAATGTTCAAGCAGATACACTGAGAGCATGTCACGATCGTAGTCCCACATCTTAAGGGTGGTCCAGGTCTTTTTTATTTTATTGATTACGTGCACCTGCCCCCTATCCTGCCCCTCCTTATTTAAGCTCTCGCTATTCTGGGCTCAGTGTTGGAGATGGATGCCCAGAAGCCCACCTACCAGCGGCTCCAGGAGTGACCTGACGGCATAGGCTTCAACACGGCGTCCTGACCATCTGAGTCCGGGGCTCAGAGCGCCTGGCCTCGTCATCCTGTTTTTATCCCCTGTCCCTGTAACGGATCCCATTCCGGTTTTTAAGTTTGTCTTGTTTTGTCTCGGATGGATCACCCGGTATTGGACATTGGATTTCGCACCGGATTTCCTCCTTGGACTTGTCTGCCTTGGCCACGCCCCCCGAGGACCAGTTCACTGTCGTCACGCCCCCCTGTTTGTCAACCAGCCCTGATCCTCGTCCTCTCCTCCCCGTTGTCCTACTCCATTTACTTCCGGATTATACCGTCTACATAGGGTCCTGAACTACGGTTCGACGGAGCCTGGACCGGCTCCCGTTACAGAGCATTCATAAAATACATGCATAACAACCTTGGATCAATACGCTTTTTGTAACATGACCAGAAAGATGAGCTGTTGACCTCTTGTTTTTAATATGTGCTCAAATTATATGTTCTTGTTTTGTCATCTCGGGCTGAAATTGTCATTGTTTTTCACTTCTGAGTGTTTGAGGAAGAATATCGATGGTGTTTCAAACTTATTTTTACAAAAGCAGAAACATTTGCAGCTGTGCAGCAGCACTGGAGAGGGACATTTGTTACTGAACTGACTGTGTAATGAATTAGCGAATTGATGCAAATTGTTGCATTGCTGAAGATCACCCCAACAAGATTTAGGATTATTTGATCTTGTGCATTAGCTCTATTTAGTTCTGCAGAAAGCAGATCCTTTTGAAGATTCAATAAAACAGAATTTGAGATGTTCATCCAAAATACAGGGAAACATTCACATTCACAAAAGCAACATGAAACAGGCGGGTGACAGGTAGTTATTCTGCTTTCAAATAGCAGGCCCTCAACTGATCAGGGCAAAATTAGGAAGAAGGGTGTGTACGCTACATTTGCTTTGACTATAATAAAACACTTTATTTTATATAGCACCTTTAAAAGCATCTTACCCAAACACTTTACAGAAAAATGATTAAAAAAAACATTTAAAACAACAAAAACAGTAACACTACGTAATTATTGTTAAATACTATTATAAAACTGGCCCTGGTGTGTGTGTGAGTATCTGAGGTTGTGTCTGCGTCTGCCCTCTGTTGGACTGCTGTTCCATCCACGGTGTACCCCACCTTGTGCCCGTTGCTTGCTGGGATAGGCTTCAGAATTCCCACAACACTGTATTGAATAAAGCTGTTTAAAAGTGGATGGATGGATGGAAGTAGTGGGAGGTAGACTAGCTTGTGATTTAATCCAGACCTTCGTCTTTCTTTCTTTTTACTGCCCACTTAGGAGCGACAGTCCAGTACGACTCCAGAAATACTTGGATGGACAGAATTACTGTCTCATTCTTCCACCTGACCTCAAATCGGCAGTCGCTGCTGTAACCTACATGGCGGACCAGCTCAAGAGCCAGGAAGAGCACGACACGGTTAGTTCTTGGGGCCCAGTTGCACAAATGTAAGATTACATTATTTCTCAGGTGTAAGAGTATTTCACAAAGTAGGTGAGCACAATTAAGTCCGGTTTTTGCAAACAGAAAATGTGGATTCCTATCAGTAGTCCCGTCCTTCTTATCTTGTTTAGTTTATTCACAATAGCCAAGGTGCAAGCTTTTCATTTGCTGGATTCACACACCTTTCTGGTACGTACCTTTTCTGTCTTTGAAAGTAACCAGAGCTGAAATCATGAGAACGTTTCTGAGGCTCTTCCTTCTACAAAAGCTTGGAGGTAAAAAAAAACGTTCTATGTTGCAACTGGCTGGCTCTAATCGAGAAGGAGCTTGATGAGCTTCCTGGTTGTCCTCTCAAGTTCAGTATGTATCTGCTATGATGGTACCGTTGCACAAGCTGTGGCTCACCAGCGTCCCCTGTATTGGATAAAGCGGTTAGAAACTGGACGGATGGTACTGTTGACATGTGAACGCATACTGCAGTTTAGTATGGCTGATTCCTCAATCTTTCCCTACCAGTTAGATCATTTTAACTGTCTATTACGGTAAAACTCTTTTACTGCCAAAACTTCCCTTAGCCTTAAATGGTCTCTTAAATGTCTGTCAGCAACACAGGAAAAATACTGTATATTCTCCTTTGTCGTGTATGTAATTCTCAATCCATTCCATCCAGTTTTTGAAACTCGGCACTACGTGTCCCATCCAGGGTGTACCCCCATAGGCCCCAGCTCCCCTGCGACCCTGAGTTGGAAAAAGCAGTTCGAAAATGGATGGATGGATTTCTCTGAATAATACACTGTGGGGGAGGCAAGCAACATAACTGCAAACACTAGACTGAACAGTAGCAGAGCAGCAAAGCAGCTTCCTAGTGCAGTGAGACACTACCAGATAATGTATACTCACAGTTGACTTATTTCCTCCAGGAGATGAATTCTGCCTGGGGCTTCTATGTCAGAGCCTGGAGACCTTGTTGTCTTTCTCTTCAGGTGCAATTCAATCCGACCAAACATTTTTATAGTTAATGAAGAGACAGTTACAGTAAATATCTCAGCTGTACCATCACCCAAACAGTTCTTCATAAGAAAGCACTCACTAAGATGTCATAATAAAAATAAAGCTTCCCTTACAAATGCAGTAAATCTGATTTTGATAGTATAGTTACAGCATCTCCCTTTCTAAATGTTCAGTCATTCCATTTCATTAGAATTCAGCATTTAGCAGCTGTTAGCAAATTAACTAAATTATTCTTTCCTGCAGTTGTTTTAAAGATCCAGATGGAAGTTCTTCCAAGTCTGTGTAGTTTTCTTCTTGATCGAGCTCCCAATACATACTTAGCCAGATATTTTCATTATTATTTTCCAAGTGGAAACAATTACAGGACACCTTTAGGAGATCATTTGGATCAAGCACAATTTGATACTGGGACAGCTCCAAGATCATGGCTGAACAATGTTGGATCATGTATATCAAATCACTCTGAGGTGCTTTGCTTTGTGCTGGTATGTACTGTGCATCTCTTCTTTGTAAATCGCGTACTGGGTAGGGCTTAATTTGGCCACTAGAGGGAGACAGTGTACTTGTTCTAGAAGGATGTTATGTTTTAATTTTTCCGTCACTTTCCAACGCAGCTCAGACACTGTAACTGTAAAGACAATCCCATTTCGTAATAAGATTTATTCAGAAGGCTTCCTTCATAATCACAGGATGTTGTACAGAACAGTAATGAGAAAGGAAAAACATACAACAAGACAAAACTAGTTTTTAGAACTGGGGCAGGAGCAGTGCTTAGCTGGGGGGTTAGATTCAAATTCTGTATTCACATGGGTTTCCTCCTGGTGTTCCGGTTTCACAGTCCAAAGACATGCTGGTAGGTTAACTGGGTTCTGGGAAAACGGTGTCTGTGTTTCTGTCTGTGTGTGCCCTTCAGTGGACTGGCATCCCATCCAGGGTGTACCCTGCTTGGTGCCCATTGCTTACTGGGATAGACATAAGCTGTCCTGCAACCCTGTACTGGGTAATGCGGTTAAAGGAAGGATGGATGAATATGAACACAACCAGAGGAAAGGAAACTGATTCAAATTTCAAGCTGAGTACCTGATGGTCAACTCTCATTTCAGATAACAGCAGACTGGCAGTACATCGCTATGGTGGTGGATCGCCTCTTCCTCTGGCTCTTCGTGGTCTTCACCTCCCTGGGCACCTTGACCATATTCCTGGATGCCAGCTTCAACTACACCCCCGAGGAGCCTTTCTCCTGAGGTGACCTCGCATCGTCTTCAACATATCCAGGGAGGGGACAAAGGACAGAAGTAATCCCCATCTCTCCTACCCATCTGTCCAGACGGACACAAAGTGCCTAGACACTCCTTTTCCCAACCGAATACTGTGTGTCTGCCTAAACTCCACTCTGTCCCTAATTTAAAATGCACATGAACAATTTAGATCCTGTTGTCTCCTGAGCTAAAGAGCTCGGCTCATGGGTTTTGGAAGTAAATGGGCAAAGTTCTCCCATGCAGCACTAGAAAGATGGACACTATATGTACCTCAGTGTCCTATTTACACAGTGCCAGATACCAGAAATGCCTATAAAATAGTGGGTCAGGCCTCTGAAGACAAAACACCTTGCGAAGGAAGCAGAAGGTGTCCTGTGAAGATCTGAAATTTTCTAAACCCATTCTAGCCTTCAGCTGAGGTGGTGATAAGGGGAATGTGTTGGACTGAACGGCACATTCTACTGGTTCCACAGGTTTGCTGTAGGTATCAGATCTTGGGATGCTTGCCCAAAGAAGGTATTTTCATTGCCCTTCAGATAGACCAGACATTTCCTTCACACAAAAGAACATATTCATTTGTGCTTGTGTTTCTAATATTGTGGCCACTGGGTGTACTCCTTACACTTTAATTGGAGTTTAGCAGCAGTACAGCTGTCCATTTTTTTCCAACTGCTTTTAGTAGCTTTACGGATGGCCCTTTTAAAGTTTGAAATCACCCCCAGATTCCATTGTGATAGTATCCAGCTGTTGCCTGACACAAATGCCCGTCACATGTTTTTCTGTTGCAGTGCTTTGCAAACATTCTCTGAATGCTTTGCACTCAGGGTCCACTCGAGCTAAACATTTTTTTAGCTTTCTGTCTCTGCCCCAGTCCTGAGGATGTCTCTCTGTTCTCTGTGTTCTGATGACTTGCATGCAACTTTTTAAACTTGATACCATTAAATTGTAACCTGGCATTTCCAGCCCAGAGTGCGTCTAATGCTTTTACACTCAAGAGTATGTTTATTGCAGCTGTTTCTCAAAGACTTCTCTCAAAACAGACATCATTCACTAACATTCAGCTTCAATAAAACTCATTTGAATGGATATCAGTGTTTATGTTATTAAGCACCGCAGGCGCTCCACCACACATGAGATTTAAACTGCCTTTTTCTTACAGCAAAAACAAAACAACAGAGATTTAATTCATTTGTATATAGTAGTAGTATAGTACATACCAAGTGTATGAAGTCAGAAGGCCAATGAATCCTTTGGTTTAAAAAATAGAAGACAAGGATCGTTTTAAACTAAGGTTTTGGTTTTCTGTGAGGCTTGATTGCAAGTGTTGTGTGGTTTGTTTTTTCTGGTATAGATACAAAGCAAACAGCTCATGGAAATAATTTGGTAACCCCATTCCTTTCCCTCCCTTATCTGTTCCTGTCTACAGTTCCAGACTTCCTGAAAGGAATTATGGGTAAATCTAGTCAACAACAGTGCCCATGGGACAGGTCAGCTGACACAGTTTGTGACTGGGTCCTATTGGCTGAAACTACAACTTTTTTGCATACAGCATGTCAGAATTTGCAGGTTATGTGACAGTGGGTGTGACCTGATTATACACCTGCTACTGCCTGAGGCACTCTGTCAAACTCTCTGGCATCTATGCGTTTCAGTCATTATGAGTCACAGACCCACAGATAACAATGAGACAAAGCCTGAGACACAAGTACAGTCCTAAAAGAACCTGAAACCAAAACAGAGACAGAAAAAGATATAATACAAAAACAAAATAGTGTCTGGCAAAGTTTAATCATTTGTGTTAATTCTAGAGTCACATAACATAATGTAGTTTTAATCACAAATTTATCTCCTCTGTCCAATATGCTGTATATAGTATGCTTTCCAGAACTCTTTCCAGTGGTGTTTCAATTATAATTTCCCTGGATATGCTATAAAGAATAGGTGGCACACTGACGCAGTGGTTAGCTTTGCTGCCTTGCAGTGCTGAGGCTCTGGGTTCAATTCCTGGGGTGCTGTCTATGTGGAGTTTGGATGTTCTCCCTGGGTTCACATGGGTTTCCTTCTACAGTCCATTGACATGCTGGTAGGTTAATTGAATTCTGGGGAATTTAGACCTGGTGTGTGTATTTCTGTCTGTGTCTGTGCATGCCCTGAGATGGACTGGTGTCCCATCTAGGGTTTATCCTGCCTTATGCCCGTTGCTTGCCAGGATATGCTCCAGCTCCCACACAAACCCTGACTTGGATAAAACAGTTAAAAAATTGATGGATGTTATAAAGACCCAGCTGAGTTGGTGGTATTTTTCTCTGACATGGTTATCTTATCTTCTTTAATCCCTCAAAAACTGAGAACGGGCATTTTCAAAATGTACCCTAACAACGTTGAAGGTTTTCTCAAAATAATTTCAGGTTGTATCAGTGAATAAGGAACCCCCTGGTGGTTTATTAGGGCCACAAAAACTAGAGAGTTGTTATTCCAAGATATTGAGGCTCAGTGAGTGTGGCTTTGTGTCTGGTACTGGTCTATGCCAGTACATTCGAGATCATTCACAGTTCCCAGGGGTAACCATGCTGGGCTGAGACAATTTTGCATGCTTAGCAAAGAGGGTGATTTACTCATGTTAATGGCTCTGGTTGCTCGAGGCCTGACTGGGAGATTTTGTCTCCACCGACAAACCATTGGCAACAACAAGTGTTCCTGAATTTATCGTTGTTCAAGGAGTGGTGAGTGCGAAGAAGAATCTGTGACACTGGCCGAATGCTGTTTTAAGCTTGAAAGTGTGAAAGGGTCCCGTTCCTCTGCATGCTGTTCAAACTGGCTAGATCTGGAATGTGCTTCTGGATTAAAACCTCAACTGTGTACCACTCTTCATCAACTATGTATAACTTCTCTACTTATATCAGGTAGGGTCCAATCATTAGTTGGTTTAATAAGAAACTTATTCAATAAGACACATGTTTGAGACTCTCAAATTAATGTATCAGTAGGTATAATTTGAAGTTCATTTCCAGTGTCTGAGACAAACATAACAGACAAAAACACAAACTTCATTTCCTGTCTCATAGTGCCTCACACTTGACCGCATCCTTTATTATAACATTCATGGATGTGTTGTTTCAATGATACTACGTGATTGTCTCTCCAGGCAGCCTACCCTAACAGAAACTTGAGCTGACGGAGAATCTCTCCCCCATATTCTGTGGGCCCCACCCACAGTGGGCACTTGTAACCAATCAGAGGCGAGATGATGGGTGAGGGGCAAGTCAGTTTAGTCTCAAGTGCTGTTACCAAGGAAATGGTTTCAGCTATCCGATTGGTGGTTTCACTCCTGCCAGGAGATGAGCCTGGTTTCTACCTGAGAGTTTCATTCACAGGTATGACATCATACCTTTAGAAGAAGGGCTGGGCTGCTTTCCTGTAGCCTCTCTTGCTATGACAAAGATTTGAGACAGCACTGCTGTAAATATACTTTTTCCATGAACGCCACTGGCTCTCATTTACAATGTCTTTCTTTCCTCAGGTTGCTGTTGTCAACACATTTGTCACTGCGTCTATCTATAACCCAGAATCTGCTGATCTGATGCTCCCCTTTCAAATGGTAATTATCTTTTTAGAACTAATTTAGTCATTTGGCTGGAAACAAATGGAGAGTCACAGTTACTGTGGTGCCAGTGCAATGCGGGGAAGGAACAGCAGATCAGAGCTATGTGACAAGATGAGGCTTAGGGATTCAGAATCCCAATTCGGATCGGATCAGAATAGCCATGGTCAACACCAAGAACAAATTCCAAACAAATAAGATCCGTTCTTACATGCTCATACCTAATGCCTAAAGCATAAGGAATACAATGCAAGAACCTGAAGCTACTACAGGAACTAGGACTATGAAGTTAAAGGAGAAATTAAGGTTAAATAATACATAATAAGAAATCATTGCATGTTTTTAGCACAATCCCTTTACTAGGATTTTTAATAAACAATAACTGATCCCAGGGAATGGGGGACGTTATTCATAGACCCCTAATTAGGACATGTCATCCTAACTAGGAGGGAGTAGTACCCACAGACTGGAGAGCTGCAAATGTAACACCAGTCTCCAAAAAGAAGGACGGAACTGAACCAGGAAACTATCAACCAGTGTTACTTCTCTAACTGGTGCATTTCAAAAAAGACAGAAGTATATTGGTAGAGGTATTACAAAAACAGATGGTATGGCCAGCCTGGATTCAGAAAGGGAAGGGATGTTGAACTGAACATCCACAATTGTCAAACCCCTATAAGCCAGAAACAAATTGTAGAACTATAGAATAACAGAAAGGGGAAGTTCATTAAAATACAACATCAAAAACGGCACATCAGAATCAAAGGGAACAGAGAAAGGATGTTAGATGGTCTTAAACAACACGAAGTCACCAACATTCTAGATGATTCCTAATAAGCTGAACTCTGATGGCAATTGAGATTTTTTTTTAATATTATGCAGGGAGCTTTGTGAAACAGAGCATAGTTGTGTTGTGTTTGCTATATAGAACAGAATGTCAGTAAGATGTAGAAAACCTTTATGTCTTCCAGTTCTTTCCTGAGCCTAGACAAAAAAAAAATGTTTAATTTTCCTGACCTTTATGGAAATTTGTGGAAATAAAATGAAGAGCCAATATCGTTAGTAAGTGTCATTCTTTAGAAACTAGCAGTGACAGAATGGAAGGGACAGGATGGTGGTACTGGACGAGAGATGCCAAAGCATAGCGCCACAATGTGGGCTGCAGAAAGCAATCCACACTAAGGGCAGGGACACGCCCACAAGCAAGTAGGTGGGTTATCGGTTCTAGAGGAAATCTAACTGTAAGACTCTTGAGTTAACGACTTCAGAAAAAATGAAAATCATATATATTATCTCTAAAATCATTCCCATTGACTCAATGATCTGTTCATAACTGTGCATAGCATAGACTACAATACAGGTTGCTCAGTACTTCTGGCATGCTATATTCTGGATATAAAAGTACCAAACTTCACCTGAAAAACTCAGTTTTGAAACTCTAAAATCTACATAATAGAGTGTCTTATTGTACAATTTATTGATTGAATGTAAAAAAATGCACAATAAGCTGATGGAAGACACCCTGTTGCCAGTATTGAAAGTGATTAAAAGTGTACACCGGAGGATGTGTGTGTCTCTCTGTGTCTCCCTCTCTATCCTTTACTTTCCATTTCTCTCTCTCACAGCAGGGAGTAAAACTGGTTTTTGGTGAACTTGTGTGCCTTCAGGCGTCAGACTTTGTTTGCGCCTCAGCCAGGCTGAGGTGACCCCTTTTGTAGCTTTGTTGCACAATGTGAGAATGGCTAGTATTTGTACTGCTTTACTTTAGGGATGGGCACAAGTCTCTGCTTTGGCTCTTGATAAATTGTGATCTCTGAAGACAGCGGCTGCTAAAGTTCCACAACCGAATTTTGGTTTCGATTCTACAGTAGCTTCAGATCAGCTTGGAGCAGGCATTCCCCAGACTTTCAAAATTTTAAGGGATTCTTCTTTTTTTGGTTTCTTCAGCTGAAATGTATTGAGACGTTATGAAAAACTGTTTTCGGACTCAACATAGAAAATGCTACTATATACAGAGTTGTACACACATATCAACCTTGTTTCGGTAGCCTAGTTTTACCGAGGCTGGCAAATTAGCAGCGTGATAAAGGTCAATAAAATAATCAATAGACAATAAACTAGTATTAAAAACAGATGTTGACTGGATTATATGAACTTGGTTATATGAAATGGTTTGAGGAAATCCTGAGTTCGAATGCTTTACTAAGCCTGCAATTCTGGGTGGCTGTGAAACACTTGTAACGTCATGTGCAATAAGAAAAAATAGAAATATCAGGAAATTGATCAAAAGAGTGCCTTGAATGTGTATTAGCAAAATAGTCAGGTCTATAATAATTTGAAACCAATCTGTTTATGTGATAACAGCACTGTGCCTGGGTCAAATACATGTACCAGCATACAACTGGCAACGTAAAACAAAACTGAGTTGTACTGTACCAAAATTCATTATACTGATGGCTTAAAGTCATTTTTTCCAATGAGGTTC